GGAGTTATGACAGAATAACGCTGTAAAAACTAATTTCTTGTATTATTATTATTATACTTCCTCATCAAAAGAATGACTTAAGCAACTCATTGAGATGACGCAATTGAATTTTGGTAGCACTTGCTCTTCTTTTGCAAAATTTCCTACTCTTTTTGAGAAGATTTGATGAGTAAGTTGCACTCAAGTTTTTGCATTTTGTTGACAAAGACAAGTTTCAATCTGTTTACTTCTTTGCGAATTGTCGGATAAAGTGCTTTAAACTGTTGACGCCCATCTCCAATTCTCTATACGCGCAAAGGCATACACGGGTATCTTCTAAAGTGGAGCTAGCTAGGAATTGCTCATGGGTTATGCATAATAACTGGAGTTCATTTGATTCGCCATGTTCTCCTCCAACTTCCTAGCTATGCTCGCCACAATAGCAAAAGAAAATGACATGATAGAGTAAATTATAAATTAGTCTTTTTTGTTTTGAGAAACAAATTAATTAATTTTTTTATTTTAAAAACTAATTATTTAGTTTCTTACGTTTTAATTTTATCAATAACTTAGTTCTTTCGTCGGTTTTATGTTAGATTGGTGATTTTCTTTCTTTCCAAATTGTCATTCTTTTGATATTTTATTTATCTTCTTCGTCTACTATTTTTCTTTTTCCTCAACAAAAAATCAAAAGAACAGACTTGGAAAAAAGTAATTAAACTAATGAAAAACTCGATAGAAGAACTAAGATATTGACAGAGTTAAAACAAAAAAAGACTAAATAATTAATTTTTCAAAGGAAATGGACTAATTAATTTGTTTTTTTAAACAAGAGGGGCTAATTTATAATTTATTCTGAAAGGATAGGAATAGGTTGTTTTTTTTTTTTTTTTTTTGGTTTTCCTCCCAATATCATAACCCCACAGACACACCAAACTAATTCACTAGACATTTGAATACTATCTTTCATATTTTTTTTATTTGCATCACTTTCTCTCATGATGATGATGGTAGGTAGATGATAAGTGTTCAAAAAGGTTTCATCTTTTATATTCTTTCCTCACAGTAATGCCCTATCTTTCTATTTTTATAGAAACCTTATCTTCTGCAACCACACAATAAATATGCCTTCTGGGCTTCTACATTGTTCTTGAAGTGTGGAAAAGGTACGTAGTGTGTGCCATTTTTGGACATGGAGGCCATTAAAGGGAGACATTGGGTGCATCCATTGATCATTTGCTCCATTTAACGGAATATATCCTACTTGGATGAGTAGCGAGAAGACACCTACAGACTATAACGTTTGGGTTCAGATTCCCTTTGGTCTATAGAATGATCATTTTGATTTGCCGGCAGGTCTACCTGTATCAATCACCTTGTAACACATCAGTTTTTTTAGGTCTTTTTGAGTTTTGATTTTTGTTAGGATTATTTGGAGTTGGATAGCAGTGAAGCACTAAGGTGTCTACCACTCTCTTACAAAAATGTCAAATGCCCATAATTCCAATATAAAAAATGGTCACTAACACATCATTCCAAGCTTGGAGGTTGATTTTTGCTTCCAAATTCTTAGCCCTTTTCACACACAATGAGTACATGTTGTAATTACAAGCAATCTCTTGATCAATTGATTTTTGTAAGTATTCGTGATTGATTAAATATATCATATTTCTCACTAAAATTACTAAGTTTTTTTTAAAAAAACAAAAAAATCAAAGCTATGGCTATGAGAGTTAGAACTATTGTGTAAGTTCCAATTATCGATCATTTTAAAATAAAATAGAGAAGAAAAATCCACATGTATGTTTTTTTTATTTTTTAAATTAAAAATATGTGAGTCTTTTAGAATTAACATTTAGCAAGTATTTAATTAATCCATATGATGTATATAATTTCAAATGTCAAATGGTTTTATATTACTATTAAAAAATCATCTCAACCCAATAAATTTATATTAATGGCTTAATTTATATTATTTGTTTTATATTATAGTCAAAGAATTATTTTAATTTAAAAATTTTTGAACTTGACACCGACAAAAACTCATTACTATCATGTGCTTAATTAATTAATTTTAATTAAAAAAAAGTAGAGTAGTGAAAATTAAATTTGTAATATTTTGGTCAATAACATTCTGATACTACGTTAAAAAATTATTTTAATGTAAAAATTTAAGCTAATGGATAAGACTCAATAAATAGTTTTATATTACTCTTTAATTAATTTTAGAAACCTCAATATTAGATAGTGAAAATTAAAATTCTCGTAATTCTCTCATCTTGCAATGATAACAAGTGAATTTAATATTAGTATGTAAAAAATTATCCGAGGATATTACAAAACAAAACAACAACAATAATTTCACAAAAACTATGAGATTTTAAAAAGATTATTGGAGTCATATTTAGCTCAGTTGATGTCATCCATAACGTTATCCAGACATAACTATTTTTGTCATTGGGTTTCAATCTTTTCGGGACCATGTTGTCTAAAAAATTATTATTCTCCATTGCACTAGGATTGATAATAATTGGGTGCTCTTTTGAGGAAGAAGAAAGTGTAGGCTTCGATTAGTTATATGTCAAAGAAAACATCCTTCTGGTGAATGAAACATCAGATTCGAGAAACTTCGAGGTTCAAATCAATCAAATAAAAAGTGGGAAAAAATGAACAAAAACCATTGGTACAAACTATTGAAAGGACAATAGCATGTAATGATTCCTTGAATATTGTAAACAAACAAATAATGATCATAACAGATGTGCAAATTAGTGGGAATTGTGACTATTAATCTTTCCCATTGAGTATCCCTGTTTGTGTGTGTGTGTGTGTTTTTTTACCATCTTATTTTGAGTTTAATTAGTAGTTTTATAATAAAATTATATTCGGTGTATGTCATCTAAAATTATGGAAACTTGATTATATTATATTCAATTTATCTAAGCAAATTGAAAATGATTTTTTTATTGATTTTTTTCCCAATTATTCTCATCGTATATTGAAAATAAGACTAATCATGTTCAAAGGGAGAATGACAAGATTTAATTTCTTTCAAATAATTTATTTTAATGCTCTTTCAAAATTATCATTTGTAAGCAGATAAAAATTAAAATAGGAAAAAGCCTCCGAAGGTAAATAGAAATTAATGGTCATGCTATTTTCTCAAAATCCAATTTTCTACTAGTAAAGAATAATGTCTAAAATCTGTAGATATTTTATTTGTTCCATTTGAAAATATGTATTAAAGGGAACCATTCTTGAATTGCTAAAACATTCTTTGTTCCTCCCCTACTTGGTAATCATTCTATGATAGAAAACCATACATTGAAAACACAGATACAATATGATAGAAAAATATACGATACGAATACAATATGATAGAAAATTCATAATACAATATGTAGAGAATCAGTTGATTTTTTAATATTTTATATTATGTTATGAAAGGATTTTGATTTAATAACAAATATAAAATGTGTAGTAAAAAACAATGAATAATCAATGAAAGATTAAAGTATATCCATTTCTGATATGAATGCCCCATAATTAGGTGATTTATTTTTTAAGTATCCGTGTTTTCTTGTTAGAAATTATGTAAAATTCGGCCCAGGAAACTAAAACAGAATTTTGGGCTGCTAGCAGTCTGCTTTTTGGGGACTAAAAGCTCGTATTCGCACACCGTCTAAGCTCCTTGAAGGCGAATCTGTCTGTTGGCCCAAGTTTCCAAATTGGCATTTTGGGCTATTCAACTTATAGCCCAATTGGTTAAAACAATGGTAACTCGAAAAATCTTATTTATTGTATTGGGTATCCGTTTTCTGAACTTCTTCCCTTTTTTTTTTTTTTTTTTTCAAATCCTGATTTTAATAGCAAGTGGTGCGTTAAATTTGCAAATTAAACAGTACATAAATAACTTTATTAATTTAAATTCTATATTTGTTATATTTAGACAATTTGATTTAAAGTAAACTTTCATTTACTATATTTAGTCTTGTCGAGGTGAAAAATATTTACCATATACATATATTGCTGAAATGTTTAGGGAAAAAAAAATTCTCGTAAAACCCATGGGTACATGAATGTTACGTGAATCTCATTTTCTATTTATTTATTTTACTTTAAAAACATATATAAAAAAGAGAAATATATGAACAAGATTGATGAGAAAATAAGAAATTTTGTGAAATAAAAATAATATTAAATTAAACATGTTTAGTACTGATTTGAAAAAACTAAATAATAGGTTTTGAAACAAGAAAAACTAATTGAGGAACTAACTTATAATTTACTCGTAGGTGAGTTGGTCAGCTTCAATGTTGTGTACGATGAGAGGGGGGGTGTGGGGGGTGGCGTGGGTGTTGGGGTTCTCAAATTCTAGTCAATCCAGGATAAAAAAGGTCAAGACAGTATCATCTTCCTATTATGCAATCTACCATGAACCAAAAGAGTAAATAACAGAATTTATTCAAAATAATTTATTCCCCACCATATTTGGTACAATCCCACCTCTCACCTGCAGTCTCTCAATCCTTCAAAATAATTTATTCCTACCAGTACATCATCAATCTCAAAATCTCCATGTCCTGTCCTATGTCTAGCACAGAGCTCATCTCATGGAGAGTCCTCTTTCTGGGACAGAACTACAACAGAAAATGCAGTTCATCCTATGTTATGTGGAGATGCATCACAATTTGCTGCATTTTGGCACGGTAACACCACCATATGCAAGAAAGAACAAGCAAACTCCGGTTATGGTGGGAAAAAAAAAAACTTTCCATGTGAGTAACAACACTACATCAAAACAATCAGTAAGCTAGGGCTCTATTGTTTGTCTAATTAGCTGCACAAAAGCCTATTGACAGTTTCATCTATCTAAATATTTACAAATTGAGGATACGCCAAAGCCTCAAGGAGTCCTTGGGACTTTGGACGCAAGGGAACACCTCAGTCCTAAACTCCTAATGCATCTTGGGGTAAATTGCAGTGCAGACCTGAACAGGGCCTATTCTAGGATGACACGATTAGAGCTCCAACTTAATTTGTGGGCTCTCAGCACTGTTATGTTGTATAAGCTCCGTCTCGATATTGTTTGAAACAATACTCCCTCCATTAAAACCATTCATCAACAACTTTCCTATTTTCAATCTCCACTCTGAGCTATCCTTTTCATTCTTCCTGTCATGAAAAACTCTGTCACGATAGTTTAGCATGGTTCCTAAGCCACTATTTGGTGTCCAACCATACTGCGTCAACACCTGAGCCTCGCCTTCAGTTATGTCTTCTCCAACCTTAATCAAAGATTTCAATGCATTAGAGACAGAGACAAATCAATTAGATAGAAGCCTTAAAAACAAATAAATTTGTCAAATTAAACCAAAATTAGCACTAATCCTAAGAGAGAGAGAGGGGGGGAGGGGGGATCTGCCTATTCATAAGATCACCAAACTAGATTTACCTAGCTAAGAAATAAGTGCAAATATGACCTAGGTCAGGTCAGTTGGTATTTTTACCCCCATAAACAAACCCAACCAAGAGCATTGCTGTTCCAGGTCATGCACTGCCCACTTTACAAGGATTAAGACAAAAACTCTTGGTTGCACAGAGAGCCCATCAGCAGACTAAAAAGGGGTGACATCAAGCCCATTTAGCAACTGATCAAGTAACGTTGATATAAGTACCAGCAGTCAACCAATGAAAACACATTTACGTTCTTACCAATAATGGTCTGTTCTCAATCACACTAATCCTGCCACAGTTGGTAAGTTTCATGGCAGTCACCAGACGCTTAATCTGCCAATCAACGGATATGGAATCTACCAGCTCAAAGAAATATGTCGCATAGCCATATTCAGGGCGTTCCAGCACTATTCTGCATTCAAGTGAAACTTAAGACTGCCACTTTACAGTACAATAAGAAGAGAAAAGGAAAAAAGAATGATTTTCTTGCAAAAATACCTGTTATGCTTTTCAAAGACAAATACAAATGACTGTAGATCTCGGCACCAACCCCATTCAGCAGGCCAATTACGAAACCGAAGATACCGTGTCTAAAGAAGACAAGCCAGTCATAGATATCGATTTACAGCGTTTGATAAAAAAAAAAAAGGTACAACTATATCCCCTGTTCCCCATGTAAAGCCAATTTTTACAGTAAACTTGTTACCTGCTCTACAAGTGAGAATAGACATCCAAAACAATAGCTGGGTTTTGAGGCCTTTACACATCGTATGGGAGCAAACTTTAAAAAAGAGTTGCGCTCGAAAAGTAGCTGTCCCACAGACAAAGAAAGATGCTAGCATCAGAACAAATATGAATTTGAAAAGCACGAAATTGCTTAATGGGAAACATAAAAGTGCATTTTTAATTCTACTTTTTTCCTGGTTAATTAGAAGGTCGGTAGAGGATGATAACATGTTACAAAAATGGAACCAGAGGCCACTACGAAGCAAGTAAAATTAAATCCCTAAATTTGTATTAGTCACAAAAATCTAGGAATTATATATATCACAATGTCAGAGAATCATTGTCAACCTTTGACATAACAGCTTCAAGCTCTCCAAACCCATCTTCAATAAATGATTCATCCATGGCTTCATCATCATCTGCCTCTCCATAAAGCTTAATTTCTTCAAGTGATACCCCTTGTTCAACTAGCACCTGACAGTTGACATTTTCAGAGAAATCTGAATCTGAATTTCATGGAAAAGGGAAGATAAGATGCCTGCATTACCTGCAGAATTCCAGGAGCATCTTCCTCCAGTGCTGTTTCAACGGAATCCCTGTAATTTATTTCAAAAATCAATAGATCCAAAAATCGCTGGTTTATGTAAAACAGAAAATCTAGAAGTGGGTGAATCATAGACACAAGTCCATCTTTAGGAGGGGGAAGATATACGTGGCAGTCTTCTTCCTTTTCCGTGGTCGGATGAACCTTAATGGGTCTGGAGCTTCTGGATCAGTCGAGCCACACTTAACATCAGAAGGGATGGCTTTATGCAAGCATTCAGAATTCCCCAAAATCTTTGATACAGAATTCTTCCCTTTCGTCTGCATATTGATGCGATCTTGCAATTGCATATGATCCAGCTTGTCTTCATACAGTTCATTGGGGATTTCAAGTTCAGTCTTCACCGGTACCTTGTTAACAGAAAAGGTAGCAACAGCAATTCTGTCTGAGCTGTGCAATTCATGGTTATCGAATGGTTCAGCCTTGACTTTGATCATGTTTGATAAACTTGAGCTAGCCATACTATTAGTTGTTGCAGGCACAGAATCCAGTTTCTCAGGTGGATTTGACTCCAGATCCATTCCCTGAAGTCGGCATATCAGTCACTTTCTTTCAGAAGAAAGGCAGAAAGGCAACAAAATGGCACGTCTCTGACCAAGAATAAATTTCCAGATAGTATAAATCTATAGACTCCCTTATTGTTATTTTTTTGCCAATGTCAAAACTGATCCCATAGAGCATATATGCTATTTTTTTCCACACATACACAAAGAGTCCAGACTCCAGATAACAATCTATCCACAGGCTCCTCACAATAATTATTTGGACGATCGACTCATATTTCATAATCCAATTTAAACTAGGTTAACTGTACATGGGAAATATATTGTGCAAGCCATGTGTATTGCTGCACATAAAAGAAACTTAGGAGATTTAAATACCAAGTAACATCTCTAAAATAGGTTTCCCAGCAAACATCTTAATTTCCTTTACGTATCACCCCTTTGATCTTTTGCAACTGCATAACCAGGTGTTGAGAAAGCATCTAGGACCCATTACAAAAATTTCAACACATAAATTGCTGAGAGGGGAAACAAATTCCATAACATAGCTTTATCAATTATCCAGAAAAAGTCAAACCGTTTTCTGGAACTTGAGTTTTAAACACCACAGAAAGCCATGAAAGCATATAAAGAAAAGGTTTCTCAGAAGAGCCACTCAGGCCAATGTCCATGTAATACTCCAGAAAGCTCAACCAACAAAAAAGAATTAATCCTATAATATAATAAACTGTAGTAAAGTCAAAAGATTTAAAGAAAGCAGGAAATCAACAGTAGATAAAGCTCCAGGCAACTCAATTACAAGTGAAAAGAGGAAGAAGCCATAGCAAAACAAAATTTGCACAAGGAAGGGTAATAACATGGTCATTGATTTTTCAATAGAATGGCTGCATGATGTAAATGCCTACACCGCCAATATTTTTAGCAGTCTTCAACAATTGAAACGATATTACACATCAACATTCAAATGCAAAGGACAAAAAATTACCTCCAAATTTGGCTTTTCCAACCTCAACATTTTCCTGGAAAGTAACACAAAAAAGAAGAGTCAGGTGTGCTAGGAAAAAAAGGCACAGAGACACAAGGGCGGCGCTGCTGCTTGTGGTGAGGGAGCTGTAGCCCGTGACTTAAGCTTAACACTAATATTTAAGGTTCTTTCAATAAGGCCCCTCCAAAAGTTTGCATACCATTATGGTCTAATTTATTGAGTTGAACTTAACGTTCAACCTTATAATCTTTTCATATTGGCCCCCCATTAATTTTACTCTGGCTCCACCGCTGCAAAGACATGGGTGGAGGGACCCAAAACTTAAAACAATTAACATCACCAAAGACAAAAAGAGGGAAAAAAAAAAAAACACCACCTTGGTAGCAGCATCCTTAGCCGCTCTCTCAATACAACGTGATCAAGATCATCAGCAAAGTCATCAGGAATATGACTCTTGACCTTAATTACTTGCGTATCAGCAACAGCAGAGCCAGTCATGCTATCTCCTAATGGACTCTGAACATTATCATTGGAACTCTCAGCCTTTACTTCAGCAGGTTGGCTCCGCACCATCAAATTCTGGGTTAAAGTGCAAAAGCCAGTCTCGTATTTCTCTATTCCAACGCCATTACCATTAACTTCCAAATACATTACCTGATTTGAACAAACATTTGCATTTGCTTTAGTCCCCTCACTATTGCAATCTCCTGACATAACCAAGTCTTGCCCACCAAAGCCATTTTGCAAACATCGATTTCCCGCAACAATGCTACCTTCTCTCACATTCGCACAAGACCCACTCACAGAAACTACCTGTAGACCCCACATGAATGCGAGAAGAAAGATTATCAGATTATATCATGTGTACAGGCATTTGCATGAATTTAATTCAAGAAAATAAATAGTTCAAACAAGAAAGCAAAAAAAATAACACAAAATGAAAAAGCCACAACACCAAAATTCACACAGTTGCAAATTAAAAAAAAAAATCAAAATTAAATCACTCTGCACGAAAGAAGCTAAATCACCTGTGAATCCTCATCTTCCTTTTTAACACCAACATCACCATTGGACCTACACAAAAAATCAATCATCACAAAAAAACCCACAAATAAAATCAAATAAAAATTTGCACTTCAAAAGACAAAACGAAACTTCCAATTTTTTATATATAAGAACCCCTAAAACATAGTGACATAAAAATCAAAACTTTATAAACAAATTGACTCACTCACGTTGTTGTTGGTTTCCCTGACAGTAATAATTTACGACGTTGTAGTAAAGGAAGATGGTCGAGCTCATTGGACCAATCACCAACGTCACTGAATTCAGCTTCGGACTTGATTGAAATTACATTTGAACCATTCAGTTGCGCCATTTTTCTTCTTCTTCTTCTAGCTTCCCATTCGCTCACATAATCCACTCCAGAACTGTCTCTTTACTTATGAAATTGAAATCAAAAGGAGAATAAGTGAAAGGATTTCATTTCTTAATTAGGGTTTTGTTTTCGGTTTGATTTGGGAAATTAAGGATTTTGTTTTCTAGGGTTTTTGAAATATTGAAAGGGAGGGGGAGGGAGGTAGAGGGTGTTTGGTGGAGCTAAATGGCGCGAGGGAAGGTAAAGGCTAGTTTACAAACAATTGTTTTTTTTTTTTTTTTTTTTTTTTTGGGTTTTGGGGGTGGTTAAAAAGTTAAGGGTAAGAAATAAAAAGGAATAAGTTATAAATTAGTCACTCGTGTTTTTTTAAAAATTTATTAGTCCCTTTTTAAAAATATTAATTATTTAATACACATTTTTTAAAATTTAATTGTAACTTATTATTATTTTTTTTAAAAAAAAAATAGAAAAAAATAAAAAAAATTGATGAGAAAAGAAAATATTTTATGAAATAAAAAATGATATTAAATTAAACATGATTAGGTAAAAAAAAACTAAATAACAAAATTTTAAATAAAAAAGATTAATTAATTTTTTCAAACTAGAAGGACTAATTTATAATTTACTGAAATAAAAGAGTTAAATTATATGTTTGGTCCCTCTATTATTTCTTTTCTTTTTGGTTTCATTAGTCCACCCCTCCACGATTCAATTTGTTAATATGACCCTTGTATTTCCTGATTTTTTTAATATGAACCTTCCATCCACTTAAAGGAAGAAAAAAAAAAAAAAAACCATGCCGTACTCAAAATTGTCTACTTGTTGCATTCGGATTAATCAATATAAACTAAATGAAATAAAACTAAGATTAAGTTTTGTGTTTATGTAAAGAGAAAAAAAATGACAAAACAAATATTTGGAATTGAGAAAGAAAGAAAGAAAGAAAAAAGTATAACAAAATATTAAAATACAAACAAAAAATAATTTTCTTTTGTCTATTTCATTTTGTTTTTTTAATTTCTTCATCTTTTTTGGTTTCTATTTTTTCCCCCTTTGGTGTTTTAATTATATTAAAAAAAAAATCAGTACAATTTTTTTTGTATGCATATGGCTTTCTATATGTAAATTCTTTTTAATTTTTTTTTTCAATTTATGGTCCAAAAAATTAGGATATCGAAACCGATATTCCTTGATTTTTATTATCAAAGAAAGCGAAAACTGTTTTTTTTTTTTTATTTACCGAAAGATGGTTCAAGACTCATAATAATTTACATAAGATTTTACAAAAAAATTATGTTTTTATTCGATCAAAGGACTGTATATGTTATGCAGATTTCCATAAAATTCAATGTAAAAATGTTCAAATGGTAATTAAAATTTAATTAAAAAAAATGTAGATTATATATTTTATATACCCTCTTCCTCTTTCCTTTTCCAATTCCCCTCTGTTTCTTTTGTATACGTAAACGTATCAAAGTAATGTTATGCACAATGTATAATGCTTTCATTAAAATGCAAAAAAATTTACGAAGTCACAAAGATAAGTTTTTTTTTTTCTTAATTGAAATGCTCTTAATATAGAATAAAAAATCTTAGTTAATTGCTAATCATATGACAATTCTGCCGTATTTCAGATTGTCTTGAAGATCCTATTAGTTTCGTTGACTCTCTAAAATTTATATCTTTTCATTAAAAAAAAAATTAAGAGAGAGAGAGAGAGTGATTTTATAAACTAAGTTTTTTATACACACACTTGTGCAAATGATCTCAATAAAATTAATTATATAAACACTAATAATTTTAAAATTGAGTTGTGCAAAACGCTAGATCTTTGGTTTGTATAGCTTATAAAAATAACAATAATAGAGAAAATAGTCATTTTTAATTAAAAAGAAAATGGACCCTATAATCAGTAGTTGTGTTTTTTTTTTAATTAAAAATAAGAAATTCCTGTTTTTGTTTAAAAAACAAAGCAATTTCCTATTAGAGTGACACCTATTTTTGTTTCAACATAAAATATGTATTCACAGAATACTGTTTTTAAAGTTAAAAACAGATTTGCTTTTAAAAATACAGCATACCTAACAGGCACCTCCTCATTTTTGCTTGAGTAAATTATAAATTAGCCCATCAATTTTAGAGAAACAAATTAATTAGTTTTTTTTTTAAAAAAAAATTAATTATTTAGTCAATTAACCAGTATTTAACAAGTTTAATTTAATATTATTTAATTTAAAAAATGTTATCTTTTTTATCAATCCTTCTATATTTTGTTTTTACTTCTTTCTATTTATTAAAAAATTAAAATAATTTAAAAAGAATAAAAATGATTAAATTATAAAAAAATTGAAATATAAAGACTAAATAATTAGTGGTTGAAACAAAGAGGACTGCTTAATTCATTTTTCAAAACTAAAAAGACTAGTTTATAATTTACTCCCTTTTGCCTTCGTCTTCCCTTCCGTGCTTTAAATGCTTTCCTTAAGCATTTAAAAAAAAAAAAAAGAAAAGAAAAACTCTGACAATGAAGGAGAAATTGAGAAATCTTCAAAATGCATTTATTCGCCCAATAAAAAAGGACTAACACTATTATTAACGAAAAAAAATATTTTATAAAATAAAAATAATATTAAATTAAGTATGATTAACACTAATTGTAAGATTAAATAATAATTTATGAAACAATTTATAATTATTATTAACTCTATTTCAAAATTTACGTTAATGATTTATATAAAAATTAATGTTAATCTTTTGTTTTTCCTTAAATCAAAGAACCACATATAGACTTCAAAGAAAATTTTCGATAATATTTGAAAATTAATAAAAAGTAGATTATATATTTAATATACCTTTTTATTCTCCTTTTAAATTCCTTAACATTTTTTTTTTATGATATCATTCAAGAAAGATATCAAAATAATGTTTATACCTAATTTAAGGAAAAATTGAGATATCTTTTGTTTTCTTAAATCAAAGAACCATATATAAACTTCAATGAAAATTTTCAATAATATTTGAAAATTAATAAAAAGTAGATTATATATTTAATATACCTTTTTATTCTCCTTTTAAATTTCTTAACATTTTTTTTTATGATATCATTCAAGAAAGATATCAAAATAATGTTTATACCTAATTTAAGGAAAAATTGAGATATCTTTTAAACTCCAAAGAGATCTGGTAATTCATCTTAAGAATTGATTAATTTCATTCCATTATATCGTTAAATTGTGAAATCTTGTGAAACAATTTTCGCAGATATTGACTCATAATAAATATATTTTCTTCTTATATTATTATTATTTTAAAATTATAAGTTATAAAAAAATAAATTGATGGAAATATAGAAATCCTTATGCTCAAAAACTACCTCCAAAATATCTCATTTTCAGTTGTGATTATACCATAAAAATCATAGAAATTAAAGAATATTTGAAAAAAAAAAAACTACACAATTTAAGAAAAAGCACAGATAAATGAATTTCCTTTGTACCATCTGACAACCATTATTGCAACAAACACAACATTGTAGGACTCTAATCTTGCAAGGTGACAGATACTAGATACAGTCGGCAAAGTTTCCTTCTCGTTTTCTTCTATTACTTCCCTCTACTCTTCCGTTTCCTTCCCTTCCCTCCCCCTCAAGAGACAAAGGATTTATAGTCTAAAAATCTTTCTCTTTTAAGATAAAATTTCTACTCTTCTCCAAATGGGTCTCTTCGATTCCCTTCTAAACTGGCTCAGGAGGTAAATTTCCTTTACTTTTTTTTTTTTTTTTTGTGATTTCCTGTTTTTATTTTGTGGGTTTTGTTTGCTCTTTCAATTTTGTTTGGTTGTTGGGAAAGTTGTGGAAAAAGATGGGAAATCTTCATTTTTATATGCTGATTAGTGTGTTTAATATGCTGATTACTTGAACTAGATTTACTTTGTTGATAAATTAGTGTGCTTAATATCACCTTGGTTTGCTAGTGATTTTAAGGTGATGAAAGTTTAGACATTGATAGTCTAAAAGTAGAGTGTGATAAGAAATGTATGTAACATGAAAATTTTCAAATGGGAAAGAAAAAATTGAACAAAATTTGGGTTTTTTTAAAGTTTTTGTGATGAGCCGATATGCGGATTGTGAACTTTACATTGTTCTTTTTAGCTCTCTCGATAAAATACCAGCCATGAATTTGTTATGGGAGAGCATTTCATTGCGTAGTTTCTTTTAAGATTTTCGGTTATTTCTTGTATGCAATATTTTTATAACGAAAGAGGTGATTTTGGAAATTGGTATCCTAGATGTTGATAGTTCATACACATGCAGAAAAAATAAAAAATGAAGTTGTAGAAAATATAAATTAATATAAATGAATAGAGGATTCGAAGTTTGTGTTCAGCATAATGAAGGAAGTATATCTGTATATGCATATAAGGCAGATGTCATGCGATGAGAATAATCTAGCATTTAATTTTCTGAATATGAAGAAAAGAGAGGGCCTCTTTCACATTTTACAACTTCGTGAATCAGTAGTCGAAAGTCATTGCATCATAGAGTTTCAGGCCGTTTTTCAAATGGATTGTTGTCATTGCTCTGTGGTTGATGGTATTGGATTTATCAAGAAAATAAAGAGTGGCTGTTCTCAAGATCAATCATATGCAAGAAAATACTGTATGGGTGTGGTGGAGATAAAATATGTATAATTTTCTTTGAGAACGTCTATACTTGTTTTTCATTTGATTAGATTGCCATTTCTTGAACCTAACCAAAATTGGCAGCCATTGTAGGAAGAGGGGGTGGAGATTTCTGTTTGTTACTGGTTCTCTGCAACTTACTGTTTTGGAAATAGTAGTAGAAATGATCTTTTTGATTGGTGTCATTGAGCATTTTTGGCTTAGAAAGAACCAAAGACCTTCCCTGATGTGAGAAAGCAAACTGTGGTAAAATAATTATGTGATGAACTTCTGGAATGTTGGTTCACTTTCACTTGGGATGTTGTTGACTTTTTTCAATTGTGCTCAACTTTTCATCCTTAATGCTATTTGTAATCTGCTTGTAGTTATTAACTGTAATAATCAATGCACATTACTTCTTTCCATTGATTTTGCCTTCTGCTTCTGACCGCATCCATATTATCAGCTTATTCTTTAAACAAGAAATGGAGCTATCCCTTGTAGGCCTTCAGAATGCTGGAAAGACATCTCTTGTTAACTCCATTGCTGTAAGTTGACACGTACCAAACACTTATTTTGGGGTATTAGCAAGTGGCCTTCTTTTAACATACTTCCTTTTATGTTTACCAGTCAGGTGGCTACAGTGAGGACATGATTCCAACTGTAGGTATCTTTTCCTTGAACAAATCCCAAATAAAGCATTTGATAATGTCTAAAAGATATAGACTTTTCCTACAATGAAAACCAGGTTGGATTCAACATGCGAAAAGTTACAAAAGGCAATGTGACAATAAAGCTTTGGGATCTCGGAGGACAGCGGAGGTTTCGTACAATGTGGGAACGTTATTGTCGTGGGGTCACTGCGATTCTGTAAGACCACCTATTCTGCTATTCATCTTTGTTACCCCATTATAACTTCTTTGTGTTTTTGTTTTGACTGCACTACTAATTAGGAACTAGGAAGAAGCAATATCTTTTAGTTCCACGATGATAATCCAGAGTCAGAACCAGACCTCATAATCTGGATTTACCCTCGAATTTATTCTGTGAAAACTCTAATTAACTCTTCTCTTGATCTTTGATCCAGGTTTTTTATTTCTTTCTTTCTTTCTTTCCTTTTTTTTTCTTTTTCCTTTTGACTGCTATTGAATCTTCTGCCCTGATAGAGCTTTGATGGTCAATTGATGATGTTGCTTGAAATAGTTACTGGTGTAGACTATATTTGGCTTTTTTCAGTGTCTAGACTAAGCTACCCATAAAACCATAACTCTTGTTTTTCTTTGTTGATTGTGCGCTCACATACGTGCATCTATTGAACCGCATGGGAAGGAGGTCTTTTACCCTTTTCTTTCCCCCTTAGAAATAAAGTACCGTGAAGAGAGTGCATGCCTTGTTGCATCTGAAATGCTTACTCTTACTACTTTGGAAAGCATCAATCCACGAGAGAGAGAAGAAATTTGTGCCATCACACAGAATGAATACCTAGTCATTCAGGTTACTGTTATGCAAGAAATTTCATCTTCTCCTCAAATTAAATAATACATTAAGAAGCCATGTTCATTTCGGTAATGGAAAATAAGTGAAGATGACGTTAACTTTTTTTAACTTAAAAATAATTGTCCCAATCCCTATTGCTGTCAGATTCCATGTTTTCTTTTTATATCAGCTTCACTTGTTTAGTTTGGTAGAGCATTAGTGGATGATATCTGATGTTGTCTTCTCCTCGGTGTCTGTCTAATGCACCAACTCTTTTGTTTGTCTTCTGATTGATGCAAAAACAGATATGTAGTTGACGCAGCTGATAGAGATAGTGTTCCCATATCTCGAAGCGAGTTACATGAGCTCCTAACAAAACCTTCCTTAAGTGGAATCCCTCTGCTTGTTGTTGGCAACAAAATTGACAAGTCAGAAGCTCTGTCCAAGCAAGCTTTGGTGGATCAGCTGTGAGTTATTAAACCTTATTAGTCCTATTACACGATATAGATTTTGTTTCAACTTTTGTCCCTCAATAATTAAAAGTAAGATGCTATTTCTTATTTGTTTTTTGCTGGATGGTTTCAGAGGTCTTGAATCAATAACAGACAGAGAGGTATGCTGCTATATGATCTCATGCAAGGACTCCATAAACATAGACATTGTCATCGATTGGCTTATCAAGCACTCAAAAACAGCAAATTGATCAGTAGTTTGACCTTCTCCTAGTCAAGGATTCCTTTTACAGCTAAGAAGGTGAAGAACTTAAGCCTAGAAACAGAGTGGGCAATATAGTGCTTCCTGGTGGAATTTGTTTATTGGTTTTTGGTTCCTAGTTTCTTGCTGAATGTTCTGTACAGTTCCATATGATTGCAGCGAGTTGTTTGTTCATTTTCTTTTAATTCATTTCCTCTTGTATTTTTATTTCCCAGAATTCGAGCAAGCCTGCTTATTTTGTTAGTCTTCTACTGTTTGGTTATGTTTTTACTACTGTTCTTATATTGATTGAAGTTATGATGATGGATGTTTTAATGAAACCGAAGCAGCACTTTTATCGTCGGACAAAGGGCTCCTATCATTCGAGCTTCTGCGTTTCATGCTTTCTTGGAAGTTTGGTGGTGCAATTTAAAGAATTTTTGAACCCTTCACTTCTTGAAGTGGGGAGCAAGATGGATAACAGTCTTGCTTCCTGAAGGGAGGAACGTCTAGCGATCGTCTTCAATAATTGTAATTCGATGGTCAACTTATATCAATCTGTAAGCCTAAAAGGTGACTTGTGGTTTGGATCGCAGAAAGCTGAAAGATGGTAGCAAGGTTCTGTTGTAACTTAGCAGTAGGTGTCAACGGATGTGTAAACACAAGAAAACTTTGCTGGATTGAAGAAGTCCAGTATTTAGAAAGCCTCGTTCCAGAGTCAGTAATGGGCCAGTTTTTGACCTAACAGACATGAGTACCAAATGGGGTTTCTTTTTCTTGTCTTTGTCAGTAATTATTTCATAATTGCAGATAATGCAACCAGTTGGATGTGCCAACCATGTCCTAATCCCCTTTATCAAATTGCCAACTAGATTATCATCCATCTAATAATCAAACTGCCAACCCATTAAGACCTAAACCAATAATGGCTGCCACTATGGATTAAAGACCTTGGTTCCCACAGATGGTTGACAATAGCTGTGGGATTTCGTTAATGGTAAGCATCGCCGGCTTTCTGTTCCTCACAGATCTGTTAATCAATAATTAAAACAATGTTATATTTTCCACTTAATTCCCATTAAAACATAGGAGCATATAATAAATAAACATTAAAAGTACAAATTTGTTGATGCTGTATAGGTTGTTTCCACGTTAATTCTACCTCATATAGGACATGTAAGGTAGGATCTTCATGAGTGATTTCTAAGGTTGCATAATGGTTTCAGTTGTGTGTGTTTCAAACAACACAGATTTTGGAAAATCAGCCAAGATCTCGAGTTAGTGTCAAGAAAAATATGTTGTTAGTTCTTGATCAGTCTTTTCTCTAACATGCCCATATGCATAGTTTTAAATCACGAACGATTGACAAAATGATCGCAGTTGCTATCGCGAATCGTAGCTTATTATATCACTAAAATAATAGTAACAGGATATTCCGAAATCGTTACATAATGAATATTATATAACGTAATGGCCGTTATTTAAAACTATGCCCGTATGGATTTAGTTCTTTGATTAGGTCATTTCTCCCTTAACAGCACTGGATTTCATTTTTTAAAGAACTTTCTTGACACCAATATTGGATTTCATCTTTCAACAAACAACCTAAACACAATCATTAATTTACACAAATAATGAGGTACTAGAACTTTTCATCAACGACACTTGGTTCTAAACACTGATGTTAAAGATAGTTATGTCTGTCGCAACTGTTTTATTTAGGTTCTATATAATCACACTTATTGATGAATCTTAATAGTACATACATCGCCATTGATCTTATGAGTTGTCTAGTTTCAATTGGTCATGCTTATCTTTTCTTTTACCAAAATCTAAAATTTGAAAAATCCTTTTCAAACGTTAATGTTAAAAATATTAGTTTCTCACTATCAATTAGCAAGGACATCTGACCTAACATATTAATTCTGTTATGGATATCGTATTGTCTTAATTTGGCATCTAATGGTACCAGAAAGAGAAGGGCCATCTGGATCTGAGCTGAAAATCGATAAATGACAAACCCCATATGGTCCTACTCATGAAACCAACGAATACAGCTCAGTTCGAACGAATTAGATTTGTACAAGAAGCAATAGCAAAAGGCAAAATAATGCAATTTGATTTGAACATCAAAGAGGACTTTATTCTTCGTAAAGCAACTTAATACAGCTCAGTTTCAACAAACCAAAGCTGATCTACCTGAAGCAATGGCATAGGATTATTTAAATTTGTTTTAAGACAATGTTCCTATAGTTCTGTCCATTTGCAGAAAAAGAAAAAGGAAACTCTCGAGTTCATTTGTATATTTCACAAAAAAGAGGGGGAAAAGGGAGCTAATTCTCTGAGAAAGTGCTAAAGAAAAAGCAAAGAAAATGAAAAAGAAAAGGAACATGCATCTTTGAATTCTGAAAGAAAGTTGAATGAAGAACCCCAAGAATAAGTGGCTTCTTTTAGTCAAATCTTTGGTTCAATCTTGTAAACATTTTCCCACTAATAATAGATAGGGAGATGCAAAAGTATAGAAAACACAAGGAGATAAAATCATAGACCATGAGGAAACATGCCATATTGTTGATTGCTAGGAAATAATGATAGAAAGTGACCAAAATATGTTAGGAATGAACCAAATAAATGTCAATCTTAATTATGAAGAAGAAAATAGGAGGAGGAGAAGTAGTAAAAGCCATATTTTTTGAAATGTTGTCAAGGGTTGTTCCCCATGCATTAACGTTAGTGGCAAGAAATTTGCGTAACCTCAAGAAGGATGCTTCTGTCTTGATCGATATATCACAATAAGAAAGGCATGACCAAGTCTTTGTCCAGATCAAACTATGAATGGACATGACCCTTAAGTGATAATCAAATTGACGTAGCACCTGCCTCTCAAATCATGACTGTTTATGGCATAATAATACCTGGATAACTCATCTGCTATTAAAAAAGTCTACAGAGAACAAATAAAGGCAGAATTCATACTTGCAGATCTAACAGAATCTCACATACCAAAAGCTCAACATTCATGACCAAAAGCTTACAAAGGAAAAGCACCAAAGGTAAAGTAGAAGATGTTAAAGAATCACAGGATCATGTACTCAACTGAAATAATTTGCTAGTTATTCACACTTTCACACGGCCAAGTGAAAATAAAAATGCTGGAGTTCTCCTATAAAATACAACATGAAAGGTAAAACAAAATGCAGAAGCGAACTGCAGCTACGAAAACAGGTAAAGGAAAAATGAACTTTAGGAATGGAAAAGAAAGAGTTCACAAATAAGATGAACCCAAGAATAAACAAACAAATGAAGCACTACATTAAACAATGTACGAAAAACCAGGAAACGTTGAAAGATTGCTGATGTTTCTTTGTCCTTTAAGAAGATGGTGGTGCATCTGAATCAACTCAAGGAGTATGTTAAGAGGAATTGTCATCCACAATGTCATGTTCTTGTGTGCTAGAACGGCAAAGGTCCTCAATTTGGTTTCTCACGTCGGACATTGAAGGACGGTTATCGGGATATTGAGCAGCGCAATCGATTGCGAGCTGTAAGAGCTGAACCATATCTTCCTCTACAGTCTGATATCGAAGAAGCTCGAGATCAAACACCTCAGCAGTCCATTCTTCTTTGACAACAGATTGGACCCATCTTGGAAGGTCTACGCCGTCATCATTCAATTGCGTATGGGTGGGAGCCTTTCCTGTGAGCAATTCCAACAGCAATATGCCAAAGCTGTAGACATCAGCTTTTTGGGATACTTTACGAGCATCTGTCACTTCTGGTGCACGATAGCCCTCGATACGGTTGGGAGTTGGGGTAGGACCTGCAAGATGTGCAAGGCCGAAGTCGGAGACACGAGCTTCAAATGAAGTAGTAAGGAGGATGTTTGATGACTTGATGTTTCCATGAGAGCTTGCAGGGCTCTGAGAGTGGATGTATGCAATTCCTCTGGCAGCTCCAAGGGCAATGCCAGACCTTGTCTCCCAATTCAGTGGCGTCCTACCAGACCCTTTATTTCCTGCAGTTGAAACCAAATGTTTTAAGAAACAAAGCAAACACGGAAAAAGTTATCTTAATCTGCTAAAGATTAACAACAAAAGATTTGAGGTTTCCTATGCAATTGCCAGATAGGAACTCCACGACGGAATTATACCAAAGTATCAACAAAATTATTACATGAAACAAGCATGTGAGAATGCCCAAATCAAGCAATTAATGTAAAAAGATAAAACAGAAACATCTGCTAGACAATGAAGATGATTAGGAAAGAAAGAACAGCAATTACAACAAAAGAACCAAAAGGCAGTAAAACATAATGAAAAAGAAGGAAATGCTCACCATGCAAAAGCGCAGATAAGCTTCCCATGGGCATGTAATCATGAACAAGAAGCTTTTCATCCCGGCTGTAATAATAAGCCCTCAATTGAACCAAATTCTCATGATTCATCTTTCCAACCCCTTCGATCTTCTCTCTAAATTCCTTCTCCGGTACCGTTACTTCCTTCAACCTCTTCACAGCCACCACCAACCCCACATCCAAAGTGGCCTTATAGGCAGTACCAAAAGTCCCCTTTCCCAAAACCTCTGCAGAAGCTTTCAACAAGTCCTCCAAATCAAATGACCTCGGCGCATTCCCAAAGAACACCAAGCTCTTAGCCCCACTACTCTTAGCTTCACTTTTCACCACCGCCCCAGCATGCCCTGCACTCACATTACCACTTTCCCCTGCGGCTTTGCCACCGGGGATCTCAACTTCTCTCTCCTTTGGCGCCTCAACATCTTTAGACACTACTTCTTTGTTGTCTCTCTTTCGTCGACACAAGAAGATCAAGATAAATAAAATTAACAAAAATCCAATCACACATCCAATAACAATCCCAGCAACTGCTCCACCAGACAGCTTGTTATCATCACTACCCCCAGTTGAAGTACCATTTGAAGTACCATTGCAAGAAACCAAAGGTTTTCCACAAAGCAAGGTCCCTTGAAAAGAACTTACAGGCTTATTAGACAACTTCTGAGGAACAGGACCAGTCAAATTGTTGAATGAAACATTGAATTGGTCAAGTGGCAAATTCAATTCAGGAATAGAACCAGTAAGCTGATTCTCCTCCAAATACAAAGTATCCAACCTGGTCAAGTTATTGAAACTTGGAGAGATCACACCAGAGAAATTATTATGAGCCAAGTTTAGCCTTACCAAGTTCTGTAACTTGAACAGGAATTCAGGAATCTCCCCAGAAAAGAAGTTCCCTTGCAAATAAAGATTACGTAGAGAAATAATATTGCCTATATCAGCGGGAACTGGCCCTGAAAGTGCATTGAACCTCAAAGACAGTGTTGTCAAACTTGTTAAATTTCCAAGTGCAATAGGCAGCTGCCCTGAAAATCCCATGCCAGGGAACCTTAACTCAATAACCGTGGTTCTCTTTGCATCACAAAACACTCCCACCCATTTACATGGATTGTCTGACAGATTCCACAACAGTGATCTGCCTCCAACTGCATCACGTAGAGTTACCAAAGCTGCCCTCTCTGAAGCTAGATCTGACTCCACAGTAGACAAGCAATTCAGTGAGAGAAACACAAAGAAAGCTACTGACACTAAAAGATTTGGTCTTGGCTTCATTTTTGGTTTTGTCACCAAAAATGAAACCCAACCAAGTTGTCTTCTGGTTGGACAGAATCAAGAAACTTTATATTGGGATTTGAAAGTCCTCAAAAACGGAAATGGGGTGGTGTGAAATCTTGAATTTTGTAGTTGGGAATGCGTTTTATGAATTCTTTCTTTCAACTCTTAGACGGTTGTGACCCCAGTGGGGTGACAAAGAGAGAGGCAGAGAGAGAGAGAGAGAGAGAGAGAGAGAGAGAGATTGTTGTTGCTGTTTACTGTGAAAAGGCAAGAAAATGGAAGGTAGAACTCCCTTCCTTTGCTGAGTTGGCTATTGTCATAGTTTAATAAAAATTTTCAAGAAATGATACAGTCCTTCTGGGATGGTGATGAAGACTGGGAAGAGAAGATTTGCCCAAAATTTGCGTCAAGACTAAGCTCTCCTCCGGTCGTGTTTTAAGTAAACCATCCTGTTCCACCTAAATTTATTTACAAGAAATTTCCTCTTATAGTTTTTTTTTTTTTGAAAAAAAAAATGAATCTTAAATAATATAACATGATTTTTTTTTCATGTAAATGAGTTTTTAGCTATTAGGGTGTTTTCCAAAAATATTGCTTTACTTCTGTATGAGTTTTGTAACGATGATGATTTTGTTTTGATAAATGTAAAGGAAAATATATTTGAACTAACCTACGCTTTTTACCCATCAAGATTTTTTTTTATCATCCATGTATTTATATAAAAAAAAATCATTTTTTTCTTATTATTATTATTATTTTTTAATTCAATCTTGAATATTTTTTTATTTTTTAAAAAATATTATCCGATCAAAATTTTAAGTAGTATATTTTTTTTAATTAATATTGATTTTGTATTATGTATGATTAAATTTAATGACTAACTACTCTTAAAAAAAAATACTAAACTAATATAATAATTTTTAATTTTTAATCTATATAAAAAAGAAAAAAAAAACAAAATAGAAGGATGACATTTACAATTTAAAGCAACTATCTAATACGGTTTTAGCTTGAGAAATGGGGTTAACTAAGTTGAAATAATTGTAGATAAGAAATAGGTAAGAAAATTTTTGAAATGGTCCCCATTAATTGGTAACTAAGTAATGAAAGTAGTTAAGCTAATTTTGGAGCTTGCTTTGTTGGGAAGTGAGATTTTTTTATTTTGTTTTTTTATTTTTCATAAACAGTACTTATGCTCACTAGATAGTTGAAGATCAAAGAATTAGCATTAATAGTTAACGAGACCGAAAAAAAAAAAAAAAAAACCATATTATAAGAATGAATAGAATTAATCATCACCACAAAAATAAGAGATTACTCTAGTTTCTCTTGTAATGGAGTTTTTTTTTTTTTAAGTTCAAATATTTCAAAAAAAAAAAATTAAATCTGTAATTTTTTGTTAGTAGAAAAATATATTTAATTAAGAGGAAGGGTAAAAAGTGTCGAGGGAAATTTTTCCTTAAAATCCCTTTTATGTGGCCAAATTATAATAATTGTTATTGTATTATTATTATTACTATTATTATTATTATTATTTTGTTGCAAGGATGAACAATTTGTTTTTGGTGTAGAGAAGAACCTGAATTCAAGATCCTGTATTTGAAAGAAAGGAGAAATAGATTACCAACTTATTTAAAATGTTTTTTTTTAAAAAAAATATTTGGTATAGTTGTCGTAAAATGAAATTGCAAGCAAAAGAAGACAAAAAAGTTAATCCCAAGTATAATTATTAATTGGGCAAGTGATTATTTTTGTATAAAAAATATGGCACAGGCATCTTTTCCAGGTTATCATTTCTTTCGGCAATTTGATATGTACTGGCACAAGTACTGCACCGACTATTAAATTAATGAATTGTTTATTTTTAGGCTCTATAAATCTCATTAATTTTTGCCATCCTAGGCAATAAATATATCTTGTTAATAGAATAAACTATAGAGTAATTTCTAAAAGGATGATTTGGTGGTTAATAATTTTTTTAATTCAAATTTCATTAGAACAGTCTAATAAAAAAATTTCAATCTCGATTAACATGTATATTGGTTGAAAAACACTCTTTATTATATATATATAAAAAAAAATAAAGTATAGAATATCGAGATATTGAACTTATTCGATGTAAAAAATGCACGGGGATCAATTATTGTGCTAATTATATAATTATAACGAAGAACAAAATAAACTTAAAACATAATAAATGATTCAATTTATCTTTATATAAAGTCTCTGATTTATTTTTATATTTTTAATTATATGTTATGTTCTTATATAATATTTAATTCTAAAATATGTTCTTTTATCAAGTTTTTTCTAACCAAATTGATGTTGTTATATTTTTTTATTCTAAATCTACCATTGAACCATAAAAAAACAATTGATTAAAAAATTAAAATCCTTTTTTTTTTAATTTTAATAGTTGAGTAATTTTATTTCTTATAACATTTCGAGCAATTTTAAGAATTTTTTTATTTTATTTTTGTATAATTCAAGAGAAATTTTAAAATAAAAAAATATATAATTTTATCAATTTGAATGAAAAATCCTGATTAAAGAACATATTAAAAAATTAAATATTATACAAAGACGCAACAGACATAATTAAAAATACAAAAATAATTGAAAACTTATTTAATCATATAACGATAGATTGAATTATTTATCTCTTAAAATAAGTTACCAAATTTTATTATTAATTATAAAATTGCAAGGATTATTCTCAATCAAGCAGCTTTTGGTTCAATCATACAAAAAATGATGAAAAAAAAAAAAACACCAAACTGCTTGTTCCCATCTGTTTATTTCCCTGGAAGCTTTCCAAGCTGTCTCCTTTTACTTTACATCGTTTAATAAGTTAAGAAACTAGCTCGTTTTTTTTTTAATAATTTTCAGGACAGTTCATGAAAATAAAGCAGCAACAAGTACTTTTATGGTTGTCTTTCATCAACTTGTCCGAGCAAGCTTTTTTTTGCCAAGCTGTCACCTTTTCACTATTTATTTTAGCATCGATAGAGTACAAGCGAACACATATATGATTTTTTTTTCCTCTCAAGAATCCTTAAAAAACTCCAAGAAATTGGTTAAGAACTTTCTAAGAAGTTAATGAATCCACGTTAGGTTTGCACATTATGTTTAAGGGGAACATTAATTAACCTAACTCATCCTTGAATAGATAAAAAGGTTGATGGTGATTCACTTACATTTACACCATTAATTTAAGAACCGATGGTATTAATTTTTAAAAAATATATATAAAAAAAGGGATGATTTTTGTTGTCTTGATTTACTAATGTTTAATACTAGTTAACAATTTAATATAATTTTAATTTAATTTAAATTATTGAAGTGAGATGAATTTAAATTTCACTAGTATCTAAAACAAAAGATAATTTTTTTTCAAATTATGAAATTTATGATAATAAAAAAGTAAAATAACCTCTCTTTTGTTTAGATTAGGTTTTGTGATAGATTATCCGTTATTCATTTTCTCAAAACTTATTTTCTTTTTTGCAACCAGAAACTATTTTATTAGAATATTTAATTGATTTTGAATTTTGTAATGAAAATAGTCGTTTTTCTCTAAAAACTTCGCTATAATTTTCTCATAATTCTAAAGTTGGATTAGAGACCAATAATGGAAATCTCGAGTCTTAATCGCGTGCAAAACCCATGCTAATGGTTATCATAAATGAATAACATTAAGCTACTCGCCATTTGGTCCATTTATGATTTATGTATGATATTATTTCATTTTCATAGATAGAAATAAAAAAAGAAGAAGAACTCTTGCAAGGCATCATCAATCATTTTTATTTGGAAAAGGCAAATAATGTTAGAAGAATTGAAGAGAGATTCCTTGACAACTGTGTATGATTGTATATAGCAGATCCGCTAGCTCCTCTTGGTTGTTACAAATTTAGTCCAAAAGCTACGATTAGTCGGTCACAATACAAAAAAAAATACAACTTTATGGACCCCATCAATCTAAGAGTAAAATATAAATTAGTCCTTTTGTTTTAAAAATTAAGCAATTAATTTCTTGACCTGAACGTGATTAATTTAATATGTTTTATTTCAAAAAATATAAAGACTAATTTAATATGTTTTAAAAATATTATTTTCTCATCAAAATTTTACTTATTTTTTCCCTTTTTATATTTATTAGAAAAACAAATTAAATTGAAAAGGAATGAAAATGATTGAGTTAGAAATAGATTTAAAAATATAAAGACTAATTAATAAGTTGTTCAAGCTAAAGAGACTAATTTTTAATTTAAAACACTAAGGGGATTAATTTATAATTAGTCACACACGCATTGCTTTTATTTATTTAGTGGGTTATTAGGCTGCCCAATAAAAAGTCGGCGATTTGACGTGGCAACAGATGGCTGAACAAATGTCACCATCCTGTGGTGCTTTTGATTTTGATTGGGTTGTCGATAGAGGTTCAAACTGCAACGGATTTATGCGTTGGGGGACCACTTGGTCCACGTGGGAGTCATAAAATAATGAGAGTGTAGCATTAGAATGGGTGCACCCTTACACAACGCTTCGTGCTCTTCTTCTACCTTTTGAATTTTGAGTGATAATGCCCTTCGCGCAATCAAAGTTTTCTCATTTTGGAAAGTAGAAGTCCTTATGGTTAAAAATTTGGTCACTTTTTATCATGTTCTTTCGAAAATGGACAAATGGACCCTTGAAATTTTGGATTGGTGAGAAGGGTTGGGTCTTCTATTAGATATGTTTGTTAAAGTCAAAATTATCGTAAGTGGTGAGTCTTAATTGATCGTTAACTTTAATGAAAATAATCAACAAAATTAAATAAAGGGATTTGTTCGGTTCTAAGAATCTAAATATCAATAAAAGATTTTTTTTTAAATCATATAATTTAATATGACAAAATTATTGAAATACAAAGATTATCGTATTGATAAAAATCTGAAATTAAAAATGTTTTTTTTCAAATATTATTTGTATGACTGTTGAGATTTGATGAATTTTATTATATAAAAAAAAACTGCCGAATAAACAATCGCGAAACCGATCCTTTTGCCAATTTGAAATTCTTTTAAAAAGCAAAGTATTACAACCACAAAGAATCACACTTTTGGGTCAAAGTTGCCTCAACGGCATCCTTGAAGGACCATACCCTTTGTGAGATTTACAATAATAATGAACACCAAGCAATATTAATTGAATGCCTTGATTAGCTAATTAATTATCAGCATGCCAATAGAAATTTAAATAATAGGTGTTTTTTTTAATCCTTTAAGGTATCTCAAATTTAAAAACTTAGATTAATTCATTATTCTATCGAACTCATAAAATAAAGCTTGCTATTTAAATTTTTTTTACATATATAAAAATTCAAAGCTGAAATCACTAATGTTCAAAGCAAGCATCTTAGTTAATAATACGAGTTTTAACAAGGTTGACAAAAGGGTCATGATGATTAATTTATTTGGAAGGATTAGTGCTGTTAATGGGAAGCTACGACAATATATATTTGTCCTTGCTCTCAAAGAGAATTTTCCAAATAAGAAACAGTAAAATTAGCTGATGTTCTTTTCAACGTTACCTTCATTGTATTATTTCGATCCAAACAAATATTGAGTTCAGAAAATGAAAGATCGATGGATACTTACTTCGCCGGCAAGTAAACAAGCTAGAATGCTTGTTAGAAGATGAACACTTAATTGACAATCTTGTATAATTTCACATTCAAGATGCAGACAAAATTAATGCGTCTTGTTATAATGTGAAAGATTGATCAATTTTTTGTCCATTAAAATAAACTTTCTTGCAAAAGAAGAAAGAGTAATTACAGCTATATTTTGAGTAATCTTCTTGCTATATCGGGTGGGTTAATGCTAATTAAGTATATTACGTTAACTTAAGAGACAAGTATGAATATGCATGTATGTTATATATGTCGAGAAAATCCCATGTTTATTAACAATTTATTAGTCTAACGATAAACAAAACGGTAGGTAAAAGAATTTTTTTATTAACGTGTGTAGTTTGAATTTTAAAATTGAATTTATTAAAAATAAATAAAATCTTAACGTTTATGTTTCGAATATAATTAGTTTTGTTCGTAATAGACGACGAGAAACATGAGGAAAAACCAAAAAGAAAATCCCATGTATTTTAGTGGTATTAATTGTTTTAAAATTCTAAAGATTGTGAGTACATAAATATATTGTTTGTACTTGGATCCATTAAAGGGATGGGAGAAGACATTCTATTTTCTAATTTATATGTCGTTTTCATGTAAAAACTGGCTAGCGTGCGTGCTGTATTTTTCGAATTTATTTCCTGAAAAAAAAAAAACAAAAATTGAGTGGGAATTAGCTACTAAGATTCCTTTCGGTTTATTGAATATCCCAAGCAGCAGTTACAAGGCTCCTTTCATTTGTATTATACCCATGGACCCGTGGGAATGTCATAAGCAGGAGTGTTGACATTTCAGTTATCTTTATGAAGAAAAACGAAAGGTGTAGGGAGAGAATAAGGGAACCCTTAGGTCAATGGTTCATGACTAATCTTCCAGTTTTTTTTTTTTTTTTTAAACTTCGATGATAAATGTTTTTTTTTTCTTTTTTTCATGTTGTCATATTAAATATGAATTTAAGAAAAGACTATAAGAAGTTTTATTTATTTATTTTTTATGAATGTACAAATTCGGACGTATATAGTCTATCTACTATTTAATCGAAGAATAACTTAGTTAATGTAGAAAATTGATCTAAAAATACCAATAATTCTCTGGGCAAATTTCTTATTGACATGGGAGATTTGAATTTTAGAATTATATTTATTGAAAAGAGTTAAAATTTGTCGTTTTGATTCTGAATAGAATTAATCATATCTCTAATTTGAAATAGAAGTACCCGAAAAAAATGATTTAAAAATATTTTTTTTAATTATAAAAAAATAAATAAATAACTTATTGTATGGACATGATTTTAGATAAATCAAATAGAATTAATTTCCCATTGTATCGTGGACGAGATGATTAACATCACATTCATGCTTTTCATCAAAGTTTCGAAAGCTTTACCATCTCAATACAAGGAAGACACATTTTATCTTACGTATAATCTGTCTCAAACACTAATTAAAGTACATACACAAACAATGCTTGTAACTTTCCCACCCACACACCCCCTGGTCGTTGTGAAAACAAATAGCTTTAACCGAGTAAATTATAAATTAGTCCTTTTAATTTCAAAAAACCAATTAATTAGTCTTTTTTATTTAAAAAAATAATTATTTATTTTTTATATTTTTAAATGTATTTATAATTTAATCACTTTCATTCTTTTTAATTTTATATAAAAGAAGTAAAAAATATAAAAAGATTGATAAGAAAAAAATCATTTTTTGAAACAAAATATTATTAAATCATTTATGATTAATACTAGTTAATAGATTAAATAATCAGTTTTGAAATAAGAAAGACTAATAATTTATTTTTCAAAAATAGAAAGACTAATTTATAATTTACTCAACTTTAACTCAATCATGTCTTTACAAAGACGATTAATCACATGATCCTCCAAGGTTTAATTTCTTTAACAAGTAATGATGAAAGAAAACGAAATATGAAGTAATGTTTATGGACATGAGCTAAACTAGTCCTAACAAACCTGAAATGGGCTTTAAGGAAAAGAAAGCAACCGAATAGGAATCATGGGCATGTTCCTCCTTCTACTATGAGAAATGTGCTTGCCAACAACCTCGTGAATGGTCTTAAAACAACAATGCTACCTTCTATTTTAAGACGTAATTAATTAGCTGGAACGCGGCATTGATGACTTCAATATTTTCCAGCTCCTCCAACCTCATAGTATACTATACATACATATACCATACAAATACAAATACAATGCACAATGTTACTTATTTTTTGGTTAAAAATTGGTCAAACCTCCATAAACGTTAACTCATTACAAATTTAGTTCTTTAACTTCAAATTTGATTTTTGGAATCTCTAAACTTTTAATTTTTGAGATTTTATCTGGTCTTTATTTTTTTTATTTATCTCAAGAAAATAACAATCATGTGATAAAAATCATTCGATAAGATTTATATAGGGCTTTTAAAAAATTTGGAATCATTTTGGATTATTTTGTATTTTTGTGTTTTCTATATTTTAATGTTAATAGATACATAAATATACTTTTTTTTTATTTTGAAAATTTTTTATTTTTTAAAAAATAGATTGTATTTTTTAATATGTGTGCAAAACTTCAGCTCACAATATCAATAATTAAATTTTTAAGGAGGAGGATGATAGCTGAAAATTATTAGATAAATGAAATCTTTCTAAAACCAAATTTTAATTTTAAAAACTCAATTTTAAATGAATTAAAGTTCAGAAGAGATTTTACCATTTAGCCTTAATTTTTTTTTTTTTTTTTGGGGTCTTAGGATTTATTTTCCCATCCGTCCTCTACGAGAAAAAGCTTTTCATTTAGCATGGATCTAGGCCCAAGATTACTTATCCTAAAGCTCACTCAGAGGACTACTCAGGGCCGGACATAGATCCAAGGGCTATGGCCTAAGGCTTAGAATACGGTTCTATGAAAGCAAAACCCAGCCCTAAAAACACAATGCTTTCCCATGTCTAGAAAAGAAACATAAGGTCATCCCATCTTATGCAAGTTATAATAACCTTTTTATTTTCTTTCGATTTCTCAAGAAAAATAATTTGGAGAGTAAGAAATTATGTATCATGTTCTTTCAAATCTTATTGATACATCTACGGTCAAAATGCATCTCTCTAATTAGATCATATTATTTTATAAGATGCGTGTATATATATATATATATATTGAACTCGTGCACAAGTTCAAAAACTTGATAAAAATATATGAAAATAAATTATGAACTAATTGATAATCATATCAAAGTTAGAGTAAATTATGAATTAGTCTCTTTTATTTTGATAAACGAATTAACTCTTTTGTTTTAAAAACTAATTATTTAGTACTTATGTTTTTAAATCTATTTGTAACTTAGTTATTTTTGGTTTTTTTAGAAATTAAAAAAATAAAAAAAAATGAAAAAATATGCAAAGATTTATGAGAATTTTTTTTATAAAATAAAAATAATATAAAATTAAGCACGATCAACACTAGTAAAAAAACTAAAAAAAATAGTTTTTGAAACTAGAGGAATTAATTAATTCATTTCTTAAAACTAGAGGGATTAATTTATAATTTACTCATTAAAATTGAGATATTTTATGTGATTTAGAAAAATAAAAATAGCATGTAACCATAGAAATGTGAATCATATCAAATTTAAATAGATGAAATACGAAATTATAAATACTGAAATATTGAAGATACTTTCAAGAATCTCCCAATCTCATTTGAAAAATATTAGCAATATCTGGCTAGCTACCAGTTGTGCTACAGTTGGATCTTAAGAACATTTTATTGACTCACATTCAATTCAATCGAAATGTTGCAATATCCTACTGAATATTTTTCAAGAAATTTTCAATGTTTTCCAAGTATTTTTTTTTCAATATCAACGTGCTTGCTTTTTGGCGATGCCTTGGTATCTACCAACATCTGTAATTTAATTCTTAGCAAATTTTATGCAGTATATAGGGGGAAAAAAGAAGAAGAAAGACTCACCATTAATTGTAATTTGATTTCATACGGAAAGTTCGTAGTAATTAACAAGATGTAATAGATTTTTTTAAAGACAGGTCAATTTTAGAGTTTGATAATTTTGAGATGAAATCTGATTGTTCTAGCTAGTTTTTGAGGTACCATGTGGATCTTCAACTTATTAGAATGCTGTTTTCGGATCTAGTTTGTCATTCGGGCAGAAAAAGAAGAAGAATCCATGCCATGGTTGTGCTATTGGTGGATGATAGAGCCATGTCATTAATTTAATCTGTATGATGGGAGCCAAGACAAAGACCTGCTGGCTTTGCTAATGCTGCTCAGTTGGATTATGACTTGTAGCCATGTCTTTTCTGTTTGAAGATATAGCCAGGAGCAGAAACGCAAGGCCAAAAGGAATTTGTTTAAAGTTGTTCTCATTCCTCATGTGAAGGATCAAGAAGCACTAATTAGGCAGATTACATATGTTTCCTCCATTCTTTGGCACAATTACTGTTTCCAAGTAGACGCTGATCTTACCTTTGTGGCTTATTTATCAATAATAAAGCTTTTATTTTCCAAAAGGAATGGAGGAAAGGCTAGCTAATTAGCAGCAAGTCTTTTTTTATAAAAAAAATGCATAGAAGAGGCGAAGCTATAAATAATAAATTGTTTGTTACGCATTCTTGGAGAGACTACTCCATGAAGATCCTCTATAAGGAGGCTAATACACCTCAATAAGGCATGCTCGAAGTATGATACTCCAATCAGAAGAGAGTAAGCATGCGAAGCAAGCTAGTCAATAAGACGATTGATTTTTTTATAGGTGTGATCGATGCGAACCTGTCAAGGCCTAAAGAGAAGTCTGCAAATAGCGAAGATCAATTGACTATAATTCCTACGATGACTTTCTGGATTCTAGATTACGTGTGTTGTCATTATGGAATCAGATCCCAACAAAACACGATTATATCTCAAATTTCATGTCAACTCCAAATCAATCAGTATGTCCCAAAGTTTTGCATATAACACAGAGCAGATCCCATTCTGGTATGAAAAGCCATGGAAACAAATACGTACTCTCTTCATAAAAAATAATACCACCAACTAAAAACACCAACTGAATCACTCAAAAGCTCTATCAAAAAGTATTTTTATATGAAGAAAATCAAGATAGCATATAACTAAATCTCATTAATACAATACACTAAATTATACTTGCATGCTTGACATTATTATTAGTGTGCTAGCATTAATGTTCAACATTCAAGATTTTATTATGATTTGTTTCCTTTTTCCATTGCTTAGTATTCAAGTATCATCATGTTTTTGACATTTATTATTTCCATAGGTCACTTTAATCCTTTTATATTAACCAAACATTTATCCTCTGTATACGTAGTCTTATCAATTGTCATTCCACATGAATTAGGTTCATACTAATCCTTCCTTATTCGATTGAACGGACAAAATGAACACAACTACTCAAAGTATTTTTTACATACAGAAAAATTCGAAACCGGTACCCATACCTCCATACATTTGTTTAAAATAATAGAGCTACTTTCGTTTAAATCAACCCTTTTGGATAATTAGCAACAAGTTGTTTACTTGGAGAAAATCAAGATAGCATATAACGCAATCTCATTAATAAAATACACTAAATTAGACTTACATGCCTGATATTATTATTAGTCTGCTTGCATTCAACATTCAAGATTTATTATGACTTGTTTCCTTTTTCCATTGCTTAGTATTCAAGCATATATCACTTGAATCCTTTTATTTTAATCTAGCATTTATTCTCGAAGTCCTGTCGATTTTCATTCCACATGAGCTAGCCCAAAAATCAATATTTTTTTTTTTATCTAACATTACTTATAAGCAAGCTTCACTAATAATTGAATTTATCTATTTGTATGCATGGCATCTCAAGTAGCCACCTTTTTGGCCATTATTTTTCTCCTTTTCCTTTTTCCTTTAGCTGATTCAAATGACAAAAACCCATCTTCATTTGAGTTTCTGAAACATCTTCAGGGATGCAAGAAGGGAGACAAGGTTAAAGGCATTACTAAGCTAAAAGGATACCTTAAACAATTCGGCTATTTGAGCCGAAACGGTTCAAACAATGAGTTTAAGGCCATTGCTGCACCTGATGATGATGATGATTTTGATGAAGTTATGGTTTCAGCAATCAACGCTTATCAGCAGAATTATAATCTTGAGGTAACAGGAACCTTAGATGCGAAAACATTATCAAAGATGATGATGCCACGATGCGGCATGCCGGATTCTAACATCAAGAAAACAGGTTCACGGCACAGGGAAATTCAAGAACCTGGCCGCCAAGGGTTTATCCATGAAAGTTCTCATTACGCATTCTTCAATGGGAACTTGACATGGCCACCTTCTAAAACCCAACTCACCTATGCATTTCCTTCAGGTACAAACTCTGATGCTCGACAATCTTTTTCACAAGCTTTTCAGAAATGGGCATCGGTGAGTCGTTTCACATTCACTAGCATTGAAGATTTTGCAAATGCGGATATCAAAATTAGCTTCCAAGCATATGATCATGGAGATGGAAGTCCATTTGATGGTCCTCGTGGGGTTCTTGCTCATGCTTTTCCACCAACTGATGGAAGGTTACACTTGGATGCCTCTGAGAAATGGGCAGTGGGTGCAGTCCCTGGAGCGTTTGACATTGGGACCGTTGGCTTGCATGAAATTGGACATATTTTAGGACTTCAACATAGCACATCTGAAAAGGCCATCATGTACCCAATGATTGGTCCAGGAGGGACGAAAGGTTTGTCTTCTGATGATATTGAAGGAATCAAAGCTTTATATCAAGAATAATTACACGGAGAAATGTAGATAAGTATCTAAAATTTGGTAACTATAGTTTTCTTTTTTTTGAGGAATAATTAGTGATACTTGAATTCGAAGTTTTTCTTCAATATTTTGTCAGAAAGACCTATGAATATCTTTTTTCTGTTTTCTAAAGAGGTAACGATAAATTTTGTGTTCGTACTTGTAAAAAGTTTTGAATGAAGTGTCTCTATTTTTAATTGGGAGTACTTTTTTTTTTTTTTTTTTAATTCCTAATCAAGTGTGTTTCGTTACAAATCAGTTAGCTTTTGATGACTGAATATAAAGCGTATACATATCATCTTCGAGACCCACAAATTATTTAGAATGGAAACATAGAAAAAAAAAATTAGAATTTGATGTCTTGGAGATGGCATTTGATTATTCTGGTTGATTTGTGAGATTCCATGTCGATCTTCATTCTACGAGAACAGTGTTTCCAGAGCTGAACAAAAAAATGGGTCGTCCATTTTCAGTATTGTGTGCTATTTGTGCTGAGAAGGAAGAGGAATCAATAGCAATTCTGCGTTTGGAAGGTGGAGCCACATCGTATAATCCCTTCATGATGGAACATCATGCAAACTTTGACTTGGAACGGAGACCACAAATTCCATATTTTCATGTCTGTCGTTTGGATTATGAAGGCTGGGATGCATATCCATGATTTGAAAGCCTCTTTTCTGTTTGAATATAACGTTAACTTATCTGCAATGGCTGCATACTTAAAATTCTAGCTATGGCATATCTAGATGTAAAGAATGATTTACGTTTTTCAAATCAAGATTTGTGTCATACGAATATTGTATGCCTTTATGACAGAGGAACAATTTACCACAGACGAAAGGTAAAATATTGCAGGCTTATATGGACTCTGTTTCTCTTGTTTTGGCTACCTCTTGTTCCCCGGAATTATTTACAGGCTGCATAAATCAGCAATATAAGTCAGAGGAACATATCGGAGCAACACATGTTCCATTCTAAGTCGATGTTTATTTTTTTACAATATGTTTGAGCTGATGCACTTACTACAAAGAAGAGAGCTTGTCGTACATCAACTCATCTCAGCCTATAAACTGATGGCACCCTCCTCAGTTTCTTCCTTTCCAAGATTGGTACATGGAAAAACAAATGTTTTCAAAAGACTAAGATATTTGTGAGAATCTATCAGAACTTGAGAAAATATCGCAACAAGAAAAGAAACGAAGAAATTAGGAGCTTAGTCCACTTCCTCCATCTTGCTCTCCTCAGCACCATCTTCCTCCAAAGCAGGCATGTCGGTATCATCAGCAGCAGCCTCATCCTCATTAATGCTAAGACCCAGCTTCAACATCCTGTGAATCCTTGCAGCAAATGTGTTCGGATCATCCAGGCTGAAACCGGAAGTCAACAGGGCAGTTTCAAACAGCAGCAACACAAGGTCCTTGACAGACTTGTCATTCTTGTCCGCCTCAGCTCTCTTTCGCAACTCTTCCATGATGCCATTGTCAGGATTGATTTCCATAGTCTTCTTGCTTGACATGTAAGAGCTCATGCTGCTGTCCCTCAATGCTTGAGCCTTCATGATCCTCTCCATGTTAGCTGTCCAGCCATACTCTCCTGTCACCAAACAGCATGGAGAGTCCACAATTCTGTCGGAGATAACTACCTTCTCAACTCTGTCTCCTAAAATGTCCTTGATGGTCTTGCAAAGGTTTTCAAAGGACTTCTTTTTTCTTCCCTTTTCTTCTTCTCTTCTTCAGTCTCATCATCAAGTTTCAGTCCTTCCTTCGTAGCAGAAACCAGCTTCTTGCCATCATATTCCTTCAGTTGTCCAACAGCATACTCATCAATGGCATCAACCATGAACAGCACCTCGTAGCCCTTCTTCTTGAGCCTCTCAAGGAATGGAGAGTTCTCCACTGCCTTCTTGCTTTCACCAGCAATGTAGTAGATGTCCTTCTGGCCCTCTTTCATTCTGGTGACATAATCCTTCAAGCTTGTCATCTCATCTCCACTCTTGGTTGAGTAAAACCGAAGCAAATCAGCCAATTTGGCTCGGTTTTGGCTATCCTCATGGATACCCAGTTTCAAGTTCTTCGAGAAAGCATCATAGAACTTCTGGTAATCCTCCTTGTTCTCTGCAATCTCATTGAACATCTCAATGCACTTCTTCACAAGGTTCTTCCTGATAACCTTGAGAATCTTATTCTGTTGAAGCGTCTCACGAGAGATGTTGAGTGGCAAATCCTCAGAATCAACAACACCCTTCACAAATCCAAGGTACTCAGGCATAAGTTCCTCACAGTTGTCCATAATGAAGACCCTCCTGACATAAAGCTTGATGTTGTTCATCTTCTTGCGAGTATCAAACAAATCAAATGGAGCTCTCCTTGGCACAAAGAGGATAGCCTTAAATTCAAGCTGACCCTCAACAGAGAAGTGCTTTACAGCCAAATGATCCTCCCAATCATTGGTCAAGCTCTTATAGAAAGAGGCATACTCCTCCTTGGTGATCTCCTCTGGCTTGCGCAGCCAGATAGGTTTCTGCTTGTTAATGAGCTGCCACTCATGGGAAACCTCCTTAATTTTCTTCTTCTTGGATTTGGTCTCCTTGTCCTCGTCAACTTCCTCAACATCACCCTCCTCTTCCTTCTTTGTTTCATCATCCTCGTCATCACTAATCTCCTTCTCAGTCGTTTTCTCAGTCCACAGATAGATAGGATAGCTTATAAACTCAGAGTGCTTCTTCACAAGATCCTTAATCCTCCTCTCCTCCAAGTACTCGAGCTACAAAAAACATTAACACAAAAACAACAAGTCAGAAATTCACATCAAATCTAACATAAACAAGCCAGCAACAACAATATCCACAAAAAATTGTTGACTTAATTAGGATACTTTATTTACCTGATCCTCCTTCAGGAAGAGGGTTATCTTAGTACCCCTACCAAGTTGTTCTCCATTAACATCCCTTGTAACAGTGAAAGAACCACCAGCTTGTGACTCCCAAACATATTGCTCATCATCATTATGTTTAGTAGTCACAATAACCCTCTCTGCGACAAGGTAAGCGGAATAGAACCCAACACCAAATTGTCCAATCATACTCACATCAGCCCCAGCTTGCAATGCCTCCATAAACTCCTTCGTCCCCGATCTCGCAATCGTCCCCAAATTATTCACCAAATCTACATTCAAAGAAAAAATCACAAGCACAAAATAAGCATCATGTAAGTCCCAAAACCCAGAATCTGAAACAAACTTCGTACTGACCCAGGTAGCATGTTTTGAGAAATTCATATTGGGTTTGATAAGTAAACTTAGAATCAAAATCAATAAACGAAATTTGTACCGACCCGGGTGTATATATTTGAAAAAGAATCTTAGGTTCGAGACATTCTAAGAATCAGAATAGAGAAACAAAATTTCCACTGACCCACGCAGCAATTTTGGAAAATAAACTCACCAGAATCAGAACCAAAAAACAAAATTTGCATCGACCCAGAGATCATTTTTAACGAGGAATATTGGGTTAGAGAGAAATTATAATTACCTGCTTTGGTCATGCCAATACCACTATCAATGATGGACAAAGTGTTGTTAGCTTTATCAGGTACAATCCTGATGAACAACTCAGGTTGCGCATCAAGCTTGCTTTTATCCGTCAAGCTCTCAAATCTAATCTTATCCAACGCCTACGCAAATCCGAAAAACCACCATTAGTACCATAAAATTCAAGAAACCGACCGAGAAGGAAAAACAAAGAAAGAAAAAGGAAACAGAGTACGTACATCAGAGGCATTGCTGATAAGTTCGCGAAGGAAGATTTCTTTGTTGGAATAGAAAGTGTTGATGATCAAACTCAGAAGCTGGTTGATCTCTGCCTGGAATGCGAATGTTTCTGCTTCTCCCATTTGCACGTCCGCCATTTTCTCTACACAGAAGCAAACAACACAAGCAAGAACGCTAGAAAGCGAGAAAGAAAGATCGAAGCTGTGAGCGTCTGATGATGGAATTTCAGAGCTTTTCTTCTTGATTTGAGAGAGATGTTTGCCTGAGGTTTTATATATTGTTGCAAGGGTGGGTTCTAGGATCTTCTCATGAAATTGCTGTAAGCGCGAAAGGGCGGGGTGGTTCTGGATTTTTCTTCCAAACGACGACGTAAAGGTGGACAAAAAGGGGGCACTAAAATTCTCTCCAAGGCCGTTGTTAGTCAACCTAGCTTTGACCGAGATTTTTTTGTTTTTGGATTCCCAGAGTGTTCCAAACCCAAAAGCTCAGGTTACAGAAAATTAATTTCATCACAAATTTATTTATTTTTTTTCAATAAGATTGTTTGAAAAAAAATAAAGTAACAACCTACGAATTTTTATATATTACAAAAAATTTCGAAAATTATTTTTTTTTCATATATTACATCAAAATTTTTAAAATTTTAAATATCAATGAATTTTTTAATATATTAGCATAAAAAAATTCTAATTTAAAAGTATATTATTTGATTGCAAGGTCCATAGGAAGATATTGAAGCGTTTCCTCCTGCAAGCTTCTATGCATGTGACTAAACGAAAAAAAAAAAAAAAAGAGTTGGACTTTGGAGGAACTGGTGGAACCCTTGGATTTGTTGTTCTTTTACTGGCTAGTGTACCTGCTACTTTTTCATCCTGTAGTGATAATGATACTTAGACTCTTTTGAGTTTTAAGGAAATAACATGGCAAGCCTGGGGGATAGCTCGGGAGGAGCATAAATACTGATACTTGTTCTGAGGTTGGTGGGAAGGTTTAAAAGTCTTGAAGTGGTTGGTGTCTTCTGATACTGTTTTTGGCTATGATCAGCTATATAATTGGTGATGTTCGTCGTTGGGGGCTACGAGAATGTTTTCGACTCTTGACGATTATTTCTCCAGGGAAGATATCTGGTCACTATTACTATTCAAGACAAGATGTGTTGATGAAGTTAGGCTACTGATATGCTACATTACTTGTTTACTATTTCTTACTCAAGTTTCTTAAGAAGCAGGTAGGTGACAGCAATTTTCGGTAACTATCTGATTTCTAGACTGTCAAGGGATAGGGAGTTAGGAATCGGCAGATTAGATGTTCTGCACTAATAGCAGAAATGGCTTTTGCAAGGCTTGATTGCACTTCTTTGTTTCTGTAGTTTTTGGTTACTAATGAATTGCTGTTTGTAAATTTATACCTTTAATTTATACAGAATTAAAGCTGTCGGTTGCCGAAAAGAAGGAAAAAGTTGGTTCAGCAAGAAGACTATACTGTCATGGAAGAAGTTTACAGCTGAGGAAAAACAAAAGGATAAATAAAGAACAGTAGATCAGGATTCAGATTTTTGTTAAGACTGATATTATGATTTGGAAGTTGGTGCAAGCCTCCTATGGATTATGCATTGGTTACTTGGTTAAAATTCGGTTTAATTGTAAATTTTATCTTAATTCTATCGCGATTTGACAATTTCAACCTATTATCAAATTACGTAATTTAAACTTCAAAACATTAAAGATTAGATAAATATAATCCAAATTATTCAATCTCTGTTTTATGAAATGATCAATATCAATTATCAATTAGACTAAGCATTAGAGATTAGACAAATATAATCCAAATTATTCAATTTCTATTATATGTAATGATCAATTAGATTGATCATTTGATCATTACTTGAAATGTCAAAATAACATCGTTTTGAAATTCTATTATTAATTATGCTTTTTTTTTAAAAAAAATTTAAAAATATTTTTAACACCTCTAATCTTGAAATTTTTTTAAAACTTTTTTTTTGTTATAAAATATTATAAAAATTTCATAAGTTATATAAGAAAACATTTTATAAATATTTTTAACCCCCTAATTTGAATTTTTTTATAACATATTAGTTTATTAAGTTCAAGATGGGGAAGGTTGAAAATATTTTTATTTAAAAAAAATTAACAGCTAGATTATTCCACGTAACAAAGATTGAGCAATTTAAATCACATTTACTTAATCTCTAATACTATAGATTTCAAATTACGAAATTTAAACCTGAAATTGCCAAATCTTAATAAAATGAAGGTAAAATTTACTATTAAACCTTTAAAATTTATTACAAAATTGATTAGAAGTTACTGCATGATAAAATCAACTTAAAGAAGTTCGTGGTCTGGAAATACCATATACACTGGAGGATTCCACAACCATTCCTCCGCTTAGCACTACGATCTGGGATTTCCCAGTTGTATTTGTATGTGTAATCTCACGCTTGTTTAAGTTCTTTTTATGAAAAAATGAGCATTTCCATTGCTAGAGTTCATGAAATAATGAGCATTTCCATTTCTAGAATTTGCGTTAATTGGACTCCCAATGTTCACATAAGCATTTCTTTCCAGTCAAATTCAAAATCTTCACAAACCACCAACTCCACAACAGTACAAATAAACTGAACTTAATAGCATAAAAAAAGTACTATTCACCTTCAAAAGATTTGACATTTTTAGGCTGTTTAGGGATACCAAAGGTATCAGATAAGGCAGATTCAGATACAAGAGAAGCTATCATCAGACGCACAGCCTGCAAAAATATATAGAAAGGAAAAAGGAAAGAGAAAAGGGAATTAGATATCCTTGTCACAGGAACATAAATATCCTTATCTGTCTGGCACATCAAATTAGCAAAACACTGTTCTACGTTGCCGTCGGGTTAACCTAGTATCGCTGCCAATAATGTTACCCAATATGAACTTTATTAACAGTGAAATAGAACTTTTATAGATTAATTGTTCTAAAAAATAAGTATTACTTAGAAATTTACGAAATGTTTTACAAGTGAACTCACCTCTTCGTAGCCAACATGCACAACATGCTCCTCAACGTCACTGAAAGGTACCTTCAATTCTTTCAGAACAGACAATCCAGAAACCGGGGATATGGGAGTTATGATTAGGTTGTCAGCAACTGTGAACATTCCAGGACAGAGAACAAATCCTCCATCATATTCACACAGGTAATTCTTGTAGGGTGATTGAGGATCCATTACGTTCAAAAGACAGGATAAAAATGAAATTTCATTGCAAGTATAACAAGGTTTGTGGCCTCTAACAACTTCCTCCAAGCGTAGCAGCTGATTCTGAATTCCAAAACCAGGTGCAATCTTGGGACTAAGTAGAAACTCTTTGTGCTCATTTGACTTCAGGTATTTGTCAGAATCAAGCTGCTGAACACTATTATACAAATTATTTACACAACCTATCGAACAATCGCTACCATGCACTTCTTTTGCAAAACATCCAAGAGGAATGGTAAGAAAGCTGAAGACTAAATCAACAAAATCATCACTAGCCTCTGCATAACATAACATGTTTTTAGATTTGCTAAGTAAAAGCCTGACATCAATCTTTTTAATCCCTTTTGATTCATATTCTTCTTTTTTCGCTCTAATTAAGCCACTTTTAAAATCTTCTTTGATTGCAGACACTATTTTATCCTGCAGAAAAGTATCAGTCAAAGGTGTCTTTGACACTAATAAGCACCTGAGCAAGTTCAAAACCTGAAACAAGATTGCAGATCTAAGAATTCAGTAAGTGTAAACCTAAATTAAGGAATGGTTAGTCAATACTGTAACAACTTCAGTTTGTTCGGTACCTCATTCTCTCCAATGTCAAAAGTCATCTCCTCAATGGCGCTGGCATCTTTGACACCATCCTTGGTAAGAAGTGAAACGGTTACTGCAGTTGATGCAGGCATCACTTGTAATTTATCAGTAACTATAAAGCAGGTCGTTCCTTTTACAAATACGCTTCCACATCGGGGATAAAACATGTTAAAATACGTTGCAGCCGCATTTTGAGGGCGAAGCAACATTTTCTTGCATGTTTCATTACGGAAAATCATTGCACCAAGATTTTCAACACTTTCATATAAGTTGTTCATGCAACCAATCCCAACTGTTGGTGGTCCATTACTGATGAGCCTGATTATTGTTCCCATGGGCATTGTCAAAAAACTGAAGAGAACATCAACAAAATCTTTACCAGATTCCACCAGTACAACTTTGTTTCTCTTCTTGTCCACCAGTGCCTTCAAGCTAATAGATTTTTTTGCATCCATGGATTGAGATGAGTTGTCGTTTAAGTATCCTAACAAATCAATCTGAAGTTGAGAGTTCAAGGCACTCTATAGCTGCTAAAACAGAAATAAAAAACCCTTAATTACCCATTCAATCATTTTCCCCAATTTCTAAACTTAAACCCTAATTTTTAATCAAACCCTAATCCCCAATTCTAACTCCTAATTCAAGATGCAAATTACTAAATTACATATAATCCACCTCTGATTAATGTTATTATTAGCCAAAACTTCCAAAAAAAGACTTAACAAATCTCTTCTCCTCTTATTCTCTCTTTCCTTCTTCTCTCCTATTCCTTCTCTTCTTATTTTTATTTTTATTTTTCTCACCTGAATTACTCCACTGCTGTCCTCTCCTTCCTTCTCTTCTTCTTTTCCCGTTTCTCTCTTTTGCTTTTTGTAACTGGTTTCACGTTGAAACCATACACTGCCATCTTCCTCTTTTGTTTCTTTTATTTATTTATTTATTTACATGTGAAATTATTCTTTTTTCCCTCACTTATGCCCTCATTTAACCTATGCTACTTGGGTTTATAGGTATTACATATAGGGATGGCAATATACAGTGTTGAAAATTCAATTATTGACAAGCATTAAAAGTTCTGTCAAACCTTTAAAGAAAATGTCGAAAAAGAAGAAGAAAAAAAAGATGCAGGGAAAAGGAGGAAAGGGGGGTAAAAAAGTAATTGCACAAAAGCATTGAATGGCAAGGACAAAATTTAGGGAAAAAAAAAAAAAAAGAAGAAGGGCAAGAAAAATGAAGTAAATGAGACTGCAGAGGAAAAATAAGATGGGGTTTGCTAGACCATTAAATCCCCTGTCAAACATTAAAAGAAAATGCCAAAAAAAAAAAAAAAAAAACAAAGAAAGGTGTAGTGAAAAAAGAAAAGAGGGGCAAAAAAGCAATTGCACAAAAGCATAATCTAAACACTTTGGATTGTACTGTAAATTAATCTGTATCAAGTGGTCCAGCAGCTGTCTCTATGTATATACCTAATCCTATCACCCATGCAAATTGTTTTGCGATCCCACCACTTTAATGGATAGCATCACTGTAAATTTTTTTAAATCTCTTTTGGATTTTTTTTTGACAATTTCACGAGTAAATTATAAATTAATCCCTCTAATTTTGATAAATTAATTAGTTATATTAAAAAAAATACTACAATCGGCAGCATAAGACTCAATACTTTCAGACTAAAAAAGGATCATGCTCCTTGTCAATACTACAACTATAACTATTATCTTCTACCTAAAAAATATATTAATTTTGAACTTTTTTTCAATCGAGTATAACAAGTTTTATTTTTTTATCTCAATATATAATATTTTTTCAAAAATACCAATCAAATTTTTCCTTTTAGTTTTTCATGAAGTGATGATACAACAGTTACAGAAAAAAGACTAAAAAAATATGTTATACTTTTATTTTTTTTCTTATTTCAAATTGTTGTGATTGTTTAATTATTAATTAAAAAGAAAAGAATGAAACAAAAGAGCCGGCACATATGCTTGCCAAATATATGTAAATTTTAATATGGAGAACAATAAAGATAAAATAGTTTAAACTTTAATATACATGAAGAACAATAAAGATAAAATAATTTTAATGTTAATATTGATGATATATATATATATATATATGGCACACATGACTGCAAGCTGTTTTGCCTTTGTCTTTTTTTTTTTTTAATTAATAGTTAAACAATAATAACAGTTTGAGAGAAAAAAATAAAAAATAATAGTATTATTATTATTATTATTATTTTGTTAACTATCACATATTATTTTTAAAAAAAAATCAGACCAAAAACTTCATCCATATTTCAAAAAAAAAATTGATATGCTGAAAAATATATATGATATACTGGATTCAAAATCTTCGTACAACCACCAAACTCCACAACAGTAGGGGTGAGCATTCGGTTTTGTACGATTCGGTTCGATTTTTGATTAAACGAATTAAAAAAAATAAAAATCAAAACCGAACCGAAATAAATTCGATTTGTAACCGAATTTATTTCGGTTTGATTTCGAAATATTTCGGTTTTAACAAAAAGATTTTACTCGTAAAAAAAAAAATCATTACAGAGAGATGTTTTGTACTAGCACTTAGTCCACTAGCCAATGAAGTAATATCTTGTTATCAATTAATCCTTTTTATAAACAATCACAAAACCCTTGAAGATTTTAACTAAGCTTTAATGAAAACGAGTCCAAGTGTAATAAATTTGCTCATTCAAACACACCGTATCCCAATTAATTACGCTCCGTCACTTTCTTTTCTTAACCCAACTGTCCTCAAAATTTACTTTTCATCTGCGTGTTTCAGTTTCAACAAGAATGAAGATTGAAAAGTTAAGGATTTAGAAATTAAGAAATTTTTTACTATTTATTTCGGTTTTCGATCGAAACCGAAATTTTTTTTCTAAAAACCGAACCGAACCGAAATAATTTCGGTTTTTTCGATTCGATTTTATATTGTATAATTTAATATTTAAAATCGAACCGAATAAAACCAAACCAAATTTTATAATTCGGTTCGATTTTATTCGATTTTCGATTAACCGAACTATTTACTCATCTCTACACAAAAGTACAAACAAACATGAAAATAAAATATATATCCTTATCAGTCTGCAGGTACATTAAATCAGCAAAACAATGATTCTACGTACGTTGCCTTCTTGTTAAACTAGTATAAAGTTACCCACTTCGTTAACAGTGAAATAAAACTTTTATAAAATTCGGTTTAATAGTAAATTTTATCTTTTTTCTATCGCGATTTGACAATTTCAACCTATTATCAAATTACGTAATTTAAACTTTAAAACATTAGAGATTAGACAAATATAATTTAAATTATTTAATCTCTATTATATATAATGATCAATATCAATTAGATCGAGCATTGGAGATTAGACAAATATAATCCAAATTATTCAATCTCTCGTTATATGTCATAATCAATTAGATTAATCGTTATTTGAAATGTCAAAATAACATCGTTTTGACATTCTATTGTTAATTATGTTTTTTTTAAAAAAATTAAAAATATTTTTAACACCTCTAATCTTTAACTTTTTTTAAAAAAAAATTTTGTTATAAAATATTATAAAAATTTCATAAGTTATATAAGAAAACATTTTATAAATATTTTTAACCCCCTAGTTTTAACTTTTTTTATATAACATATTAGTTTATAAGAAAAAAGGTTTTTTTTTTAAAAAAAGTTCAAGATGGGGAAGGTTGAAAATATTTTTATTTAAAAAAAAATTAACAGACTAGATCGTTCCACATAACAAAGATTGAGCAATTTGAATCGCATTTGCTCAATCTCTAATACTCGTAAATTTCAAATTACGAAATTTAAACCTCAAATTGCCAAATCATAATAAAATGAAGGTAAAATTTACTATTAAACCTTTAAAATTTATTACAAAATTGATTAGAAGTTACTGCATGATAAGATCAACTTAAAGAAGTTCGTGGTAATTCTTGTAGGGTGATCGAGGATCCATTACGTTCAAAAGACAGGATAAAAATGAAATTTCATTGCCAGTATAATAAGGTTTGTTGCCTCTAACAGCTTCCTGCAAGCGTAGCAGCTGATTCTGAATTCCAAAACCTATCGAAGAATCACTACCACGCACTTCTTTTGCAAAACATCCAAGAGGAATGGTAAGAAAGCTGAAGACTAAATCAACAAAATCATCACTAGCCTCTGCATAACATAACATGTTTTTAGATTTGCTAAGTAAAAGCCTGACATCAATCTTTTTAATCCCTTTTGATTCATATTCTTCTTCTTTCGGTCTAATTAAGCCACTTTTAAAATCTTCTTTGCTTGCAGACACTATTTTATCCTGCAGAAAAGTATCAGTCAAAGGTGTCTTTGACACTAATAAGCACCTGGGCAAGTTCAAAACCTGAAACAAGATTGCAGATCTAAGAATTCAGTAAGTGTAAACCTAAATTAAGGAATGGTTAGTCAATACTGTAACAACTTCAGTTTGTTCGGTACCTCATTCTCTCCAATGTCAAAAGTCGTCTCCTCAATGGCGCTGGCATCTTTGACACCATCCTATAACAAACCTGCAATGGCTGATGGGAAACAAATTATAGCAGGTTATGGGTTATAATGCATAAACCGTGAATGGGAAGTTAAATACCTTCATCTAATCTTTTTGGAGAAGAGGAAGAGACTGTTGAAGCTATTGGAAGATTCTTTCAAGAAATAAGCATTAAATTAACTTGACTATTGTAAATTCTGCTGGACTTCTCAAAAGTAGATGCCTAATATGAATTGCAAATTGTAGGATATTATGTAGGATTTTATTTCTTTTTTGAGAGAAATGTTCTCAGAATCACAGTTTATCAAATTCCTCGACACTTTTATGAACAAGAATACAAATCAAGAGTATCAATCCCACATTTTATTTTGATAATCTATTTTTAAAACGAAATGTGTAAGTAGGGTAATTGTTAATAGATCAAACTAAACCAAATTAAAAAAAGAAAAAGAAAATAAGCATCTAATGATAATTGTGTAAAATATAAATCCTAATAAAATAGTAAAATCTATTACGGTAGATTACAAAATCGAGTTGCCCATATATTGACACAGAATCATAAACAAGTACATATCACATTAAACACCATCCGATAGCTAATTAAGTTCAGGCCATTGATCTAATGATGAAAAATATGTAAGCGGACTGCTGATCTTAAACAAAACTTAGTATGTCTGGCACTGAAACAACAGAATCCAGTTTTTCTCCAGTATAATTTTTAAGAGTACAGTGAAATCCAATTCTTTTTTAATATATATATATATGCCGCGTATGTTTATTTTATTTATATCATCAATAAAATTACTATTTTTATTAAAAAAACTTTTGATGTAAAGTTAAAAATTATTTCAAACTAAACATATTTATAAATTTTCTATAAATCAACATTTTAAAAATAACTTAAAATCAATTTACAAAACTTATGCCAAACAAAATCTTAATATTTTTTATTGTACTGTAAATTAAGCAGTCTCAAGTGGTCGAGCAGCTGTCTCTAGGTATATGACTAATCATGTCACCCATACAAATTGTTTTGCGATCCCATTACTATGATGGATAGCACCACTGTATATATATATATATATATTTAATCTCTTTTGATAATTTCACGGGTAAATTATAAATTAGTCCCTCTAATTTTGATAAATTAATTATTATTATTATTTTTTTAAAAAAAAAATCACTACAGCCGGCAGCATCAGACTCAAACACTTTCAGACTCAAAAACGATCATACTCCCTGTCAATACTACAACTATTATCCTTTTCATCATTTATCCTTTTTTTTTTTTTTTTCTCCTTTTCCACTATCTGCGATTATGCACTACTCGTGGTTTCTATTTATGGCAGGGGCGTTTTAAAATGGTAAAACTAGCTAATAACCATATTAATTTTGAACTTTTTCTCAATCAAGTATGATAATTTTTACTTTTTATCTCAGTATCTAATTTTTTTTTTTTGAAAATGCTAATCAAACTTTTCCTTTCAATTTTTTGTGAACAACAGCTAAAAGAAGACTAAATAAATATATTATACTTTTATTTTTTTATTTTAAATTGTTATTATTGTTTAACTATTAATTAAAAAAATAAAACAAAAGAGCCGGCACACGTGCGTGCCAAATATATATAAATTTTAATATGGAGAACAATAAAGATAAAATAGTTTAAACTTTAATATATTTGAAGAACAATAAAGATAAAATAATTTTAATTTTCATATATATTTAGCACGCATGCGTTCTAGCTGTTTTGCTTTTTTTTTTTTTAAAAAAAATAATTAATAGTTAAATAATAATAACAATATGAAAGGAGAAAAAAAAGATAATATAATCATTTAGTTTTTTTCTTTTTTAACTACCTTATCATCATTTCACAAAAAATTAGATTAAAAAACTTAATTGATATATCTAAAGAAAAATTAAAATGCTAAAAAAAATAATTAATGTGGTTGAGAAAAGATTTGAAATTGATATACTTATAAACTAGTTTTTCCTTTTAGGGTTTAACTACAAAAGTGTTATCCTCTAGATATGTGCTAAATTGCTATTGGATATACTCTTCAAAATCGTGAGGTGGTAGAAGGTTTGGGGTTCGTGTGGATGGCATTTCATGAAGTCAGCTCACAAAGAAAAATCTTACAGGTCCAATTAAATTGCCTGCCATGAGAAATATTTTCCATGCTTTTGAGACTCCACTAAGAAGCTCAGGATCATTGTTTGGAATGTACAGGTGCCTATATTAGCTGGCTTAGACAGTGACCCTCTAACAAACTTCCAAAAAAATATTTTGAATGTTTTTTTTGCAATAGATTACTATCTGAAACATTATCCATCTTGACTCATATTTTTGTTATTTTTAAATATTTTAAAAATATTTATTATAAAAATTTTCATAATATTATATTTTAATTTTTCTTTTTTAAATATTAATTTTTTAATTCATAAATATTTTTTGTTTCATTTTAGTCTCTCTTTTTTTTTTAATCATTTTGGTCTTTTTTTCTTTGTTAAAAATTTTAAGGTAAAAAAATGTTTAGAAAAAAATAATTTACAAAAATAATTTACAAAATATTTTGAATGTTTTTTTGCAATAGATTACCATTTCAAACATTATTCATCTTGACTCATTTATATTATTCATTAAGATTCAGATACATTATTCATTTTACTGCACAATCATGTTTTTGTTGTTTTCAAATATTTTAAAAATATTTGTTATAAAAATTTTCATAATATTATATTTTAATCATTCTTTTTGAAATATTAATTTCTTAATTCGTAAATATTTTTTGTTTCATTTTAGTCTCTCTCTTTTTTTAGTCATTTTGGTCTTTTTTTTCTTTGTTAAAAATTTTAAGATAAAAAAATGTTTGAAAAAAAACAATTTACAAAATAAGTTTTTAGCTAAGAATTCATTGATTTTGATATTTTTATACTATCATAAATTTACAAATAATGTACAGGTGCCTAAATTTTTATTTAAATTTAATTTGATATATACACAATATAATATAAAAAATTAAATTAAAATAATTTTTTAAAAATAATTTTATATGTTTCATCCGATTCACTGTGCGAAAAAACTTAATAATCTCTAATTACCTGCACATGTTTACAGATATGTACTAATTAATTAATTTCTCAAACCTAGAGGGATTACTTTATAATTTACTCATATTTTCGCAATCAACGAAGGCGGCTGCTTCCAAAATCCACCGGCAATTTAGCACAGATATTGAGGATGGCACTTTTGTAGTTAAACCCAAACTACTGGCCAAATCTAAAACACACCGGCTATAAATAGAAACCAGGAGGAGCACATCACGCAGACAGAGGAAAAAAAAATCGGTGGAAAAGTAAGAAAGAAAGAAAAAGATGAAAAAGATAATAGTTGCAGTGTTGATAGTGAGTATGATCCTTTCTCATTTTGAGAGCGTCGAGTCTGGTCCTGGTGATTGCCTCGATGCTTGTCAGACTGCCTGCGTTCAACCAAACACCAGACTTATGCAGCGATGTGACCGCAAGTGCCAAATTAGATGCGATCCTGGTATTTTTTTATCCTACAACTCTTCACTTTTCAGGTTTTTTTTTTTGGCTTAACCCTTGATAAATCATGGAAATTTGTGGGTTTTTGATGAATTTGTGTTATTTATTTTTTATTTTATGTAAAATGAAAAAAAATTTTCTTCCCATGTGAGAGAGGCTTCTCATTGAATGAGAGTGGTTGGAATCAACCAGCCAGCCATTGAATGAATGGCCACAAGTGTGTCTCCCAAATTTAACAATCATTAATATTTTTTAAAAAATGAAGGGTAAAATCGTAATTCGAAGTTTAGGATAAATGACGCGCAATTGATAGAATTTGGAAAAAAAAATACTTAATTAATATTTTTTTAAAAATCTATATACTCAAATAAAAAAAATTTAAAATTTATATATTTAATTAAAAAGTATTTAAAAATTGATTTACTTAGAGCATGATGATTACATATTTTCTTTTGATAGAATTGGCTTCGAGGTAATACCAAATTGAGAATTTTCCTTGAAATTTGTAATTTTGCAGATCCCAAAGTTGATCATCACATGGGTTGAAGTCTGCAAGACGAATGCTGAGCTCCAATCTATTTATGGAATATTCTGCGAATATTAGATATTTATTTTTTATTTTTTATTTTTTTTTATCTAAGCTGTTAGTCTGTTTGTTTGTATTAAAAGTGAATAAGTGAGGGAGAATTTTAGTTATAAATCTCTAAAGTTTGAATCTGTAACTTAATATCACCTAAGGAATAAGTTTAATGGTTAATGAAATTTGTCCCTTTTTTCCTCGAATTTTTTATTTTGAATTTTTGTAAATCCCATAAAAGGGCAAAGATACCATTTGAGAATGAATCAATGGGCCTCAATATTAAAACCCAACAAACATAACTAGTAAAATTAGAAGACCCAAAATCCCAAAAATATATTAACCTTGCGTTGAGAAGTGAATGTTGGTGGTGATAATCTAGAAGCTATTTAGACATGAGCAACAAGGAATTGAAATCAAATCTTTCTTCAGCTGATATCATTGGTGGTAACCAAGATATTCTTACGGAAATACTTCTCCGAATACCTGCAAAGTCACTGCTTACATTCAAGTGTGTGTCAAAACAGTGGCTTTCTGTGATTTCTGACCCTGAATTCTGCCTCTCTCATACTCGCCACAAACTTAGCCGTCACCCCACACCGAATGCCCTCTTGCTCAACAACCAGTACTCTTCTTCTCCTGAATTCCAGGTTGTACCTCTCAAGGATGCTACAAGAGTCCCGTTCTTGGACTATCTCAATGTACCAAGAATCAAGATTGAGCGTTCTTGCAATGGCTTGCTGCTCTGCTCTTCTAGCTACGCGATCAATGGTGACGATCTTCCTGCAAATCCTGTAGACCATTCTAGCGACGTGATCAATGGTGATGATCTTGGGCCTCGTTATTTTATTTGCAACCCAACTACGAGGCAATTCAAGAGACTTGTTTTCCCTAGTCACATAGTAATACCTGAACTTTTGTTACCTCATTATCGGTGGCTTTTTTTGGCATTTGATCCTATGAAGTCACCTTACTACAAGATAATTCTCTTGGCCATTATGTCGAAGACAGAAATTGGAATTGATGTGTATTCATCAAAGACAGAATCATGGACTCAGGCACCAACCCCTTTCGAATGGCCATTCGAAATTTTCATCTGTAGTGGGGTTTTTTGTAACGGTGCCATTTATTGGTACAGTACGGCAGCTACTTCAGTTTATTTTGATGTTGACAGTGAGACTGTGAAGAAAATAACAATGCCTCCAATGCCTCTTATGTTCAAGGATATGCCCCTGACACACATTATGTACTTTGGGGAGTCTCGTGGCCATTTGAACTTGTTAGGTTTTTATGATTTCTCCAATTTGTCAAAAATGTATGTCTGGGAGATGCCATCTAATCACTCTGGCTGGCTTGTGAGATGCCTTGTGGATCTTCATTCTATAAGAGAAAATCCTCGTGCACTTTCAGTATTGAGTGTTATTCGCACTGAAAAGGGAGAAGAGTTGATGCTTGTTCTGCTTATGGATGGCGGTAGAGTTGTATCTTATAATACTTGTGATGGAGCATCCAACAAGCTATGTGACTTGGAGCCAAGAACAGAAATTGACAATAACAGTGTGAAATTGGATTATAACTTTCGTCATGCCTATCAACACTTTGAGACCCTCTTTTCTTTCTGAAAATGGCACCTTTTCTGGTAAGTCATTTGTCAACTCGCATAAATGTATTGTCTGCATAATTGACCAGTTTTGTTTTTGTATACAAAATGTCTGATTGTTGAAAATTCTACCTTTTTTGATTGTTAGAGGAATGATTCCTTCATCTAAGAAGCACTTTTCATGCACAAGTCTACACCACCAAAATATGTGACTGGTAGACAAATAAGCTTTTCAGTTTCTTTGGTAATTAGTATTGAGTTCATGCTCACTGTTTCTCCCATCCAACTTCTATACTTTTGTTCCAAAAAAAAATATGCACATTGCACTCAAGTTATTTGAATGGTGGCGTTGTTGTTGGTACTAATTACTCGCTGTTTTCTACTTTTATGCTTCGCTTTATGCTGATTTGATGTATTTCTCAAATATGAATATTGTCAATTTGTTTGGTTGCAAATAGAAGAAGGAAAATCAGTCTTATTATCGTTGCCCAGAAGCTAGAATTCACCATGGAACCTCATCACCTGAATATTTTGCACTTGGATTCCATTGAACTTTTTGTAGGGCAATCAGCTGGCAGATTGATATGAAACTAGAAAGATATTACGTTAATGTCTGCAGAATTTGCTTATTTATTGTAAGTTGCACTCCATGCCAACAACTTATTCGGCTTGTTTTCGGTACGACATGTGAGTTTGGTTCACATGGATTCTATAATATGCATCATTCTTTCTTAAAGAGTTTTAACACAGGGTTGATAAAAATGTACAATAAGGATCAGATTTTGTGCTTAAAGGGTTTCATTGATTTATGGCTTAAGAAGAGAAAAGAAAAAGGGTTTGGAGGAACTGGTGGAAGGTTGATAAAAAAAAAAAAAAAAAGTGTGCCTGTTACTTAGAATCCTCATTCTCTGAGAAGGCATTGCATTATTAATTAATTAATGAGTACTTACTTCTCTTTATTTCTGTTTCTTTTCACACACCAATATATGTTAGAACTGTAGCCTGTTTTAGTGCAGAGAAGGATTATTTCCTTGCCTAAGAACTGTAGTTCATGCATTAGCCCACACCAATAAAAGGGTGATTGGTAATCTCAATGAGTCATTTCTTTTCTCATAATATGGAGCACATGAGCATTATGTATACCTGTCCTTTGTTTCTACTTTCTAGTGGTTTTGTAAAGTATCGAGAGATTTTTTCTTTAGTTTTTGGCAATACGTGGATTTAACCATCTTTCCTTTTTCATTTTTTCTTGCTGTTTATGTGTTGCAGAAGAGAGCTGCTGGTGGAAATCTGGTTTTTGGGTTCATTCACTGTGACTTTATACATTAGTGCTGCTGCATTTTGTAAAAGGATTTCAGCTTGGGCAATTGCAGCCTTTGATGATGTTTTTCTGCCAAAACGATAGGTTAATATCTGACTGTAAAGGGTTAGGGACCATTAAATTTGGCTGATTTTGTTGTTCTCCACAGTCAGACAAAAATACTATGGTGCTAGTGATGTTGATATTTCCCATTTAGGTGTCGCATTTTTTGGAACAACAATAATGAGAACTTCATTTTTCACTCGAGCTTTCTAATCTGATCCACCTCCATATCTCCCTGTCACCATTGCCTACTCCCTCCTTAAAAATAGTGGTCTGAGCCATCTACCATTTAGTCCCTCTGTGCCTAAATGCCTGCAAGTGCCCGTTCCATGGACTTCCTTTACCACCCTCGATCTTGATATGCAAAATGTTCTAGACCAGGTATAGACTCTACCAGTGGATCCTAATATTGAACCTAAAAACCCAACTAAAAAGAAAGGTCAGTCAACAGAACATTGTGACCTGCAAGAAAGAGTCATCAGCCTTCACACACATTTCACTCAAGAAAGAAGAAAACTCCTCAGCTTCTCTTCCTGACAAACAGAAGGAGGCATAGATGTCTGTGTGGCACATGGATGACGATTGGATTTCTCTTCCTTTGGATTTGCAGCTTCTCTTCCTGACAACCAGAAGGAGGCATAGATGTCTGTGTGGCACATGGATGAGGATTGGATTTCTCTTCTTTTGGATTTGAAGTAATGTTAGTGTTGATTGTTGAAAGCCAAAAAGATGAAAGCTTGAAGAGAATTTTATTTGGTTTGAGAAGGAACAAGAAGATTTTTTCAACCGTTTACATCTTCGGAGTGGGTTTAAGCATAAACAGGAAGAATCCCCTTTAAAGCTTGATAATTTTTGTGTTGGAATAAAAATTTGAAGAGAAAGTGACAGTAAAATAGTTGAACGGTGAAAGTGTAGATTTTTGTTGAAGTGTATTTTGATGGTAAATATTATTTGATTTGATTTGATTTGTTGTTTCTTTTTCAGGTTCTATTGGATTCACTACCATCAAGGGGTCTGGTCTTCAGCAGATGGCTTGTGCGTTTGATGCATTACAAAGACACAACTAATGCTGCAATATCATACTGTTTTTTGGATTCAATTACTGTTATCTTATTTCTGTCACCTCCATGATCTTCAAGTGAGGTGCTTTTTTACTAGAAAAGAAGAAACTTCTGCGTCATTTGTTGGGTTTCTAACTTCTAACTTGGTCTATTTATGCATTCTGCATGATTAGATTATCTACTCTTCTTATTTATGCACAAGAATTTTGGTTTTGGCACATGAAACTTCCAATCTCTTGGACTTGGGCATTGCAGATGCTCAATATATTACAGACAAGAAACAACAATTCCTACCGTTTTCGAACACAATACAGTTTCATGCATATTCAGTGCTAATAGCCTAATAGGAGCAAGGAAATGGGATCAAATCAGTGTTACGAACGTAGAAATAGCAAAGACACCATTTCTAGAATGAATAAATCCACGGGCCTCAATATTAAACCCAACAAATTAACTAGTAAAATGAGAAGACCCAAAATCCCAAAAATATTAGGAACCAGCAAGATGACCCCTGACCTGCGCTAGCAAGACTGCAAGAAACATAAAGTTAGAAACTTCACCTGCCCAAGAATTCACTCAAGAAAGAAGAAAACCCCCTCTGCTTCTCTGCTTGACAAACCCGAGCAAGCATAGAGATCAGTGGGGGACGTTAATGTGGTTTTGGGTTTTCTTTCTCTAGATATCGAAAGCCAAAATGGTGAGAACTTGAAGAGAAAAGAAGGGGTTTTGGTCTGTAGAAAAGTTGCAATCTTTTACATTTTTTTTTTCAGAATACAAGCCTAAACAGGTAAACTTTCTTACGAAAGTTTTCGATTTTGTGTTGGTTTGAATTTGATTTTCCAGTCAAGACAAAGAAAAGTGACCGTAAAGTAGCGGAAGAGGTGAAAGTTTAGTATTAATCTTGTGTTCAGAAGTGAATGTTGGTGGTGATAATCTTGAAGCCATTTAGACATGAGCAACAAGGAATTGAAATCAAATCTTTCTTCAGCTGATATCATTGGTGGTAACCAAGATATTCTTATGGAAATACTTCTCCGAATACCTGCAAAGTCAATGTTCAAGTTCAAGTGTGTGTCAAAACAATGGCTTTCTGTGATTTCTGACCCTGAATTCTGCCTCTCTCATACTCGCCACAAACTTAGCCGTCACCCCACACCGAATACTCTCTTGCTCAACAACCAGTACTCTTCTTCTCCTGAATTCCAGGTTGTACCTCTCAAGGATGCTACAAGAGTCCCGTTCTTGGACTATCTCAATGTACCAAGAATCAAGATTGAGCGTTCTTGCAATGGCTTGCTGCTCTGCTCTTCCGCTTACTTCCTCAAACCCAGTGGGCGACTAAATGATGAATCAGTTGTTGATGGGGCCCCCATTCCTCCTGCAAGTCTTGTAGACTGTAGTAGCTATGTTATCAATGGTGACCATCTTGGGCATCGGTATTTTATTAGCAATCCAACTACGAGGCAATTCAAGAAACTTGCTTTCCCTAGCTATATAGTAATACCTAAACTACTGTTACCTCATTATCCATGGCTTTTTTTGGCTTTCGATCCCATGAAGTCACCTTACTACAAGATAATTCTCTTGCGCAAGATGCCAAACCCAGAAACAAGATATGGAATTGATGTGTATTCATCGAAGACAAAATCATGGACTCAAGCACCAATCCTTTTCCCAAGGCCATTCGGAATGTTGAACTGTGAAGGGGTTTTTTGTAATGGTGCCATTTATTGGTACAGTTTGGATGCCACTGCAGTTTATTTTGACGTCGATAGTAAGACTGTGAAGGAAATAGCAATGCCTCTTATGTTCAAGGATATGCCCCTGACACACGTTATCTACTTTGGGGAATCTCGTGGCCATTTGAACTTGGTAGGTTTTAATAATTTCTCCAGTTTGTCAAAATTGTATGTCTGGGAGAAGCCATCTAGTCACTCTGGCTGGCTTGTGAGATGCCTTGTGGATCTTTACTCTATAAGAGAAAATCCTCGCGCACTTTCAGTGTTGAGTGTCATTCGCACTGAAAAGGAAGAAGAGTTGATGCTTGTTCTGCTCATGGATGGTGGTAGGGTTGTATCTTATAATGCTTGTGATGGAACTTCAAACAAGCTATGCGATTTGGAGCCAAGAACAGAAATTGAAAATAACAGTGGCAAATTGGATTATAACGGTCGTGATGCCTATCAATACTTTGAGACCCTCTTTTCTTTTCCAGAATAGAACTTTTCTGGTAAGTCATTTGTGGACTCGCATAAATGTAATGTCTGCATAATTGACCAATTTTGTTTATGTGCGTAAAATATCTGATTGAACATTCTAGCCCTTTTTGATTGTTGGAGGAATGATGCCTTATCTAAGAATGATTTTTCATGCACAAGTCTACACCATCAAAAAAAGTGACTGGTAGACTCAATGAGCTTTACAGTTTCTTTGGTAATTAGTATGGAGTTCATCCTCAATGTTTCTCCCGTCTAAATTCAATACTTTTGTACCAGAAAATATGAATATTTTATTTGATTGGTGGCGTTGTTGTTTGTTGTCATTATTGGATGTTTTCTACTTGTATGTTTCGCTTTATGCTGATTTGAAGTATTTCTCAAGTATGAATGTCGTCAATTGGTTTGATTGCAAATAGAAGAAGGAAAATTAGTCCTGATATCGTTACCCAACGGCTAGAATTCACCATGAGTTTTCGGACTTGGATCGCGTTGAACTTTTTGTAGGGCAACAGGTCTGCAGAATTAGCTTATATTGTAAGTTGGACTCATGAGACCATGAGTTTGGTTCACATGGATTCTCATGCAATAGAAACATTGAGCCGTAAGACTTGGTGGCAAATATGAAATTACTTTCGGCATCATTCTTTTTTGAAGAGGTTTAACACAAGTTTACTCGACATAAAGGTAAGGTAAGGATCACATTTTCTGCTTAAAAGGTTTCCTAGAAGGTTAGGAGGAACTGGTGGAAGCCTCGAATTTCCTAGAAGGTTACTTATTTCTCTTGATTTCTGTTTCGTTTCACACACACATATTGCTCTAGGCTGTTTTATTTCCTTGCCTTTGCAGTAGTCCACACGAATAAATGGGTGATTCGTGATCATCTTTCCTTTTCTCATTACATAAGCATTATGTATACCTGCCCTTTGTTTCTACTTTCTAGTGGTTTTGTGAAGTATCGATAGATTTTTTATTTTTTATTTTTGGCAATATGTGGTTTTAACCATCTTTCCTTTTCTTTTCCCTTTTTTTTTCTTTTTTTTTCTCTTGCTGTTTATGTGTTGCAGAAGATAGCTGCCTTTGAAGAAGTTTTACTGGTGGGAATCTGGTTTTTGGGTTCATTGACCGTGACTTTATATATTAGTGCTGCTGTATTTTGTTAAGGATTCCAGCTTGGGCACTTGCTGCCTTTGAAGATGTTTTACTGCCAAAACGATAGGTTAATGTCAGATTGTGAAGGGTTAGGCAAAAATACTTTGGTGCCAGTGATGCTGATATTTCCCATTTAGGAGTTGCTTTTTTTTTTTTTTTGGAAGAACAATACTGAGAACTCCATTTTCCAATCGAGCCTTTTAATCTGATCCACCTTCGTATCTCCGTTACGATGGCCAGCTCCCTCCTTAAAAATAGTGCTCTTAGCTTCATGTCGCTTCATTTAGCCTCCTTAAAAATAGTCCCTCTCTGCCTATATGCCTGGAAGTGCCTGTTCCATAGGCTTCCTTTTACCACCCTCGCCCTCTATATGCAAAATGTTCTATTCTGCCCCTTGTATGCATGTATGTCATCTTTGCCAGATCCTTATTAGAGCTTAAAGAGATCACTTCATTGTTCCGGGAGCAGAAGTAAAACTGGTTCACAAGCCTAAGAACATAAAGGTGCAAAAAGACCAGGTCTAGACTCTAACACAGGACCCCAATATTGAACCTAACAACCCAGTTAAAATGAAGGATCCAAAACAAGAAAAATACATGATCAGTCATCGGACGATTGTGAGCATTTCAGCTTTATGAAGATTCCAACATGTTCTTGCTCCATTTCCATTCCCAGAAAATAAGACATCAAGCCAAGGTCTGTCATTTCAAAGATTTTGAGCATTTCAACTTTAAACTCCTTTATTAGCTCCTCACCACTTTCTGTTATAAGAAGGTCATCCACATAAACAGAAACTATGTAAAGATTAGCGTTAGTTTCTTTCGCATACAGTGTAGCTTCACTAAGGCTTTTAACGAAGCCAAGACTCAAGAAACATTCATCAATCCTGTTGAACCAGGGCCTAAGAGCCTACTTTAAGGCATATAAAGGCTTGTTTAGCAAGTAGACCTTCTCCTCTTGTCCCTTGACTTGGAAACCTTCTGGCTGCTCCACAAAAATCTCCTTTTGTAGATAACTATTCAAAAAAGCAGATTTTACATCTAGCTAGTAAACCCTCCATCCCTTCTATGCTGCCAAAGCAAGTAGCATTCCGATTGTATCAAGCCGTGCCACTTGGTGCAAAAGTCTCTAAGAAATCTACTCCAAAAACTTGAGCATACCCCTTCACAATCAATCTAGCCTTGTGTTTGTTTATAGAACCATCCGCATTGAGCTTGGTTCTATAAACCCATTTGACCCTTATAGTTTCTTTTATGTTGAGGTATGTCCATCGGCTTCTAAGTGTCATTTTTTTTCAATCATTTTGAGTTCTTCCATTACTTTAATCCACCCGCTATCCTTTTATGCCTCTTTAAACTTTGCGAGCTTAAAAATAGCAATGTTACACCTTTCATAAATATCGAATCGGTCTTGTACCCACGACTAGTATTTCATCTATATTATCTTTAGAATTTTGCAAAAACTCGAGTACTACCGACTCTTCTTAGGTCCATTGTATATCCCTATAAACTTGACATCTTTACTTACAAAAATCTTTTCATTTTATGGTTGGAAAATTCTATAAGCCTTGGATGAGCTCCTGTATCCAACAAAGACTTCTAGTTCTCCATTCTAATCAAGTTTGTCTCTCTTCACTCGTGGTACATAAGAAAAACATATGCAAACAAAGGTTCTTAGATGTTGTAAGTTAGGTTTATAGCCAAACCATGATTCAAATGAAATTCTTTTCTAGAGAGCTCCTATTGGCAACCTATTTAGTAAAAAGAATGTTATGTTTATAGCCTCTCGCCCATAGTTTCTTTAGTGGTTCCTTTTGGCCATGTTTCTTGCATTTTATGTCCGGTCTCCACCAACACTTCCTCTATGGGTGATTAGTCTTCTTACGGTGTGGATAAGCTTCGGCCTTGTTTCGTTGCTACCTACATTAGTGCCGGGCTTGTTGTTCGCTTATTGTTGTTTCTTTAGTCTTTGCCTCTTTTTGAGTTATGTGTTTTTTCTTGAAAAACACCCTCCATGGAATCCTTTTTTTGCTCCTGTGCACGTAATGCATTTATCGGTTCTATAAAAGATATACTTGACGGATCTTTTGACTCTTCTAAGGAAGAGATCTTAGATTCATATTTCTCAAGTAATGTTACAAGAATTTTTTGTACAATACATTCATTAGAGAATTCCTTACCAAGTAGCCTCACTTTGTTTACTATATTAAGCGAGCTTGTCGAGTAATCTTTAATGGCTTGCATCTCTTTCATCTTCAACATTTCAAATTCTCTTATCAAGTTCAGCACTCGTATGTTTTTTGTTCTTTCATTACCTTGATACTCCATCTTGAAATAGTCCTAGATGCCTTTTGTAGACTTTAGGTTATGATCCTTGTGAAAATTATGCTTGACATGGTAGAATATAAGCGGGATTTAGCTTTGGACTTTTTGGTCTTCTTTTCTTTGTGGCTCTTGAGCTAAGCCATTATAGGATTTACAAGCAATTGAGGAATATCATGGTTTTCCTCTACCGCCTCCTAGAGGTCTAGTTCTTCAAGATGGACTGACATTTTGATAACCTATGGTTGATAATTGTCACCATTAAACACTAATGGTGAAAAATTTGAAGCTCTTGTATCCGTTTTCATAACTTGAAGATGGTTGTATTTCGGTTTTGTATTTGGATTTTATTGTGTGTTTATGGACTCACTAAACTCATAGATCCCTCAAGAAAAATGGCTTTGATACCAATTATTGTTGTTGAATAATGAAACAAAGGATTTTAACAATAAAAACAAGTATATGAGTTACAAAAAATATATATATCTTATTGAATCTAAAACTATTTAAATACAGTGAAAAGAAATTGAAAATCTAAAACTTATACCGATAATCAAACATGATTAAAAACGCTTCCTATAATTAAGCCATAACAACTAATTTCCTTAAGACTAGGTCTTAAAACACATTTAGCTTAACCAATTCTTCAACTCTACTACAATATTCGACACAATAGCCTCATCATCATTTCATGTCGGCGAGCTACGGAGGCATGTCCGTAACAATATTGATGTTCCCGAATTTAGATGGCTTTGGATTGGTATCCTTTGGCATAACAATAATGAGAATACCATTTTCCACTTGAGCTTTGATTTTGTCCAGCTTCACATCTTCCGTTAGCTCGATTTCTTAAAAAAAAAAAACCTTTGTTCCCCGTCCCTCTCTCGGCCACGTGACAAATAGTATCTTTCTTTTGGACCTTCTCTTTGACACCCTCGCCTTTTATGTGCAAATTTCTCATTTTCCACTTGTACCTTTGTGTCCTCTTTGCTAAATCCTACATAAAAACAAGAATTTATCACACGCCAAGAAAGAGAGAACTTAAAATTCAACTCAAGAAAACTCTTAGAGAAGTTGAAATGCGAGTGGAATTTAGTAATTTGAGGCAAACGTCAAGTTATTAGATAACATTTTAATTGATAGAAATTAGAATAGAAATACTTAATTGATAGTTTTGAAAAAATCTATATATTCAAATGAAAAAAAAACTAAAATTCATATATTTAGATTGAAAAAGTATTAAAAGTTTATATGTTTATAGTGTCGATATCCCTTTAACAATTGAGTACACCTTATTCATTACATTAAAGGGCTATTTTGATACTCATGAATTTGCAATATTAAATATTTACTTTTGATAAAATTGGTTTGGAAGTAATACTAAATTGAGAATTTTCCTTCAAATTTGTAATTTTAAAGATACCAAAGTTGATCATCACATAAGTTGAAGTTAGGAATGGTAATGGGGTGGGCTAAGAATGGGGATGTTTGCCCTTGAAAAGCTCTATCTCATCCCCACCCTGTACGGGAT